GTGCAAGGAAAAAAGTAGCGTATTCTATTCGGAACGAAGCTTTCGACCGTTGGTGATCGCGCGCAGCAGCGAGGATGACTTTGTACGATGGAAACGCGACTACTTATGAATTAAACATCGTTCGTTCCTGATACCCGATGGAAATGTATCTGTGCTTTCAATCTGTACAACCGAGACAGCCTTCTGATTTCCTGACTTTTCCCTGCTTTTCGTATCAGCAATCTAAACGCATTGCTGCTACCTGGTTTGAGTTAGAAGTTGGTCTATTTTCCATTTAAAACGAAATTCCTATTCCATTTATTTAGAAACGTTTCCGACATGGACAAAATTTTCCTAGCTTTTCATATGTATCTGCTATGAGAAAAGGGGGTGAAACTAGTGGAACCCCGGCATTTAGCCGAAAATTTGTCCATCCAACGCAACGGGTGTGCTTAGTGGACGAATATAACGGAAACAGCCCCTCTGACCGCGCACCACCCCCTTCTCCCTCCTGGTCCCAGAAACGAGCAGGGAGTCGTAAAAAGGGTGGTGAACCCGCGGGGAAGTTTTTGAACGAGCTTCTGGCCCTTTAACACGCGTTACGGTGTAATTTCAGCAGCAGAATCGCTCTAAACGATATTCCGTGGCAACGAGCACGCCGGCCCGTCGAGTCTCGAAACTTTTCCTCGTTGGTTTGGGGGCTGGGTTAGCTTGTCTGGCCAGAGGCGAAGGGGTTTGCGGCAGGGGGGTGGTACGGTGCGTTAAGAAGCAAAAAATCAAGGAGACTGGCGCCAAAGCCAACCGGGGGTGGTTTAATATTTAGATTCAATTACGAAAAGAAAGAAGGCATCGTTATGCGGCAAATTGTCGCAGCCTGGTGGACCGCGAAGGCTGGCCTTTAGGTCGGGGGGGGGGATGAAAAGAAAAGGAAAGAAAGGGGTGGGTGTTATATCGCGACCTAATGGACGCATCCAAGAGAACGTTTCGGTTGGTTACTTCGGGAAAATGATTGTTATTGGAATACAGCTAAGATTTGCGACCCTCTGAAGGGGTGAGTTTTTTCGCGGCCTCTTTGGAATCACTTATAAATTTACGAATGAAAAGAATTGAAGAGAATTTTTCTTTTATGACAGATATGTTATAATATGTCGAGCAGGTACTTTCAATCGAAAACAAAGGAAACCCTGTAACGGATCAATTCCTTTGACCGGCCGATTACGTAACCCCAATTAACCCCTTTGGTAGAGTAGACACCTCGTCCCACCTCGTCCTGGTAACTGGTCCACCGCCTCTCATCGTGGAAAGACGAAAACGAGCTGACCGTCGGCCGTTAGGCTAAAAATGCAGTCTCCGCTTTATTTCCCGCGCTTGAAAATAGCCCATGAGCCACCGCGGTCGTAGTCGCTGCGGCGATAGTGGTGGGGGTGCCGGGTAAACGGAGTAGGGGGTGAGTGACGCGAACGGGGTGGGGAAATAGCAACTACGGTGCTGAGCATTTTCGGAGTGGGGTCAACCCCCGCCCCGGCCTTGGAGGTGGTGGTTACGAGGAACGAGCACATTTACATTCGCGCTAAACCGTGCTCGCACATGGGGGTATTATGCACAGGGTGTTTCAATTTAATATCATTTTTAATAACCGCGTTCGATGATCCATGGAATTTTCTATTTTTCATTCGTCAGGGTAGCAAAACTTTTGGATGAAGTTCCGAGGGGGGGGCACTAAATCTAAAGTGGTATCTTCCTATTAGTTTCCGAGATATTAATTAAAAACTTTCGTACAATACATAGAATTTTTCCTATACAGACGTAACTAACACAACCGTCTCCGCTGTAGTGATAATGGATTTTACATGGAACACCCTATAGAAACGGAAGCCGATATCGTTATGGCTATTCGACACTTGACGATGACGGTTGCTACAGTTTTTAATTATTATCTCGGATACTAATAGGAAGCCGAAGATACCACTTTATATTTCGGGTCCCCTCCCCCCTTCACCTCAAAATTTCATCTTGATCGGCGACCGATCGTATTCGGAACTACAGCCAAACTTTTTGCGTACCTTGAAATTAAAAGGGTTGAACGTAGTACTATGACGTAGTACTACGAGGAGAAACAAGAAGAGAGGAAGGGAGATTGTAAACGCAAACCTCGGACATACTTTCAACAAAACTGTCCCCTTCCTCTTCTCGAAAACTTTCTACTCTGGTTTCCAAACTCGCCCGATTTCCCGGATTCAACTTTGTCCGTCTTTTTAGCCCACTTCACCGCTGGACAATCAGTGTCGGAGATAAATCTCGTGGGGGGGTGGTAATTAGATGAGCAGAGTGCTCGTGAAAGTTCTTGCGGCGAAGCTGACGGTGACTTTGAATCTCTATAGAGATGTTTTCGAAAGACCTGATAGAAGTCAAGGGTAAATTAGCGGTGAATAATTAATTAAATCAGAATTCTTAAAAATTGATTCAGTCCACCCGGTATATCCAAGCCTGTTAAATTCATTCGCTAGAGGAGCACGAGGTGTAATTTCGGTGCACTTTGGTGCAACGGATGCGCGTAGTGTTCTCGTAATTACGTCCGTAGAATTGAAAAAAAAAACCTGCCATCAGTGAAATTAAAAAAGGAAAGTTATAAAAATAGCTGGAAAAGAGGAAGCATCAGGGAAATGATCGCGTGAAACAGCTAGCGCGGAGCAATCGCCGAAGGAAGTAGAAGAAGAAGGGAATTCTGTCTGAAAGGAAAGCAAAGTGGCCGTTCAGAAAAGGCGGCAACCTGTTTTCTCTTTGTTCTTGGTCCTCGCCCGAGTGTTTTGTGTTTATACAAGGACTCGCAGCAAGATGTAAAACGGAAATAGAAGCGTGCTGAGAGAGCATCGATGCTCTTCCGCGTTCCAACAATCTACCACCAGTGGACAAACTTCCTTCTCGTCTTTCCTTTCCTCTTTCTTCCTTCCCTTTGTTCCGTTTCGATATTGCGATTGAGGCTCCTCGTCCACCCTCTCTGAGATTAACTCCGTGGCCCACTTTTTTTTTTTTCTCAATCATTTCGCACCCCTATTTTTATTTGAAATTATTTACTTTTTACGTCGCCTTTCATTCCGCTCGAAATCCAAGTGGAACAGCTCGTTTATTTTCGGATAATCGCATCGAGGCACTGTCCTCAGGAACTTCGACGGACCTTTTCTTTTTCCCCTCTCACGGTATTTACGTTCAATTTCACCGTGAGTCTAATGTAACGAGAGCTCGTTGGCTCGAAGTGAGACGAATTCGATTGCTCCGTCCGTGGGTGGAAAGAGGGAGTCGATCGAACGAGCTGTACGTGTACGTGAATGTCGTACAGAGAGAAAAGCATAAAAATGAACCTAACCGCCTTCGCGAGATTTATTTATCGGCCAGACTTACGGATTTTATTCAATACCTGACTCGACGAGCCTTTGAATTTATCTTCGAACAGATAACTATTGACCGATCCAAGTTTTATCTTCGAATTTACTACTCTCAATCTTTTCTTCGATAATAAACTCGGAAAATTCGAGGAAAGTAACGATCGTTCCTCCACGGTGTCTCCTGTCCAACCGATTAATTAACACTCGAGGGATTTTTCAAATCGTTAATTAAGTAGAAACGGTAAATTGGACTTTGAAGGATTTCCCCAGCCTCGGGATTCGCATGGTTTTTCGCGCAGGAGAAAATTTCAATCACGTATCAGAGGCTCGCGCAGAGAAATGTCACGGAGACACGGCCACGCTCGACCCAACTGTGGGAGAGAGACCTGCTGCAGTTACGGTGCATCCTGCATAAAGCCGATCAAGTATGCCGAGTGTGAAGGAGGGCCGCGAGTGCACCGGCCACGTATATCGTGACATGCGTATGTACATCTAGGCGCGGCAGTTTACCTCGTTCACGCCAGCGATTTCTCGAGCGCGATGCTATTCGCGCTACCCGCGGACTGATACGTGATCTATCGAACTTGATTAGATTGCAATTCGATTTGACCCAACTTGATCGAATGGCGATCGATACGATTCGATTTAAGTTTTATTCGTTTCATTTAATTCGACTGTTAGTTGTTTTCTTATAGTCGGTAGCGAAAAATCACGCGGTTCGGATGCGCGTGACAGAAAGGGGCTAGGCGGGATAGATGATCCGCGTTCGCGTCGCTGCGGCGATGCATTCCGCGCGCTTTCGTTGCATTTCTCAGGGACCTTATGCACCGGTGCATTTGCTATTCCACGGGTGACGAGGGCCGCCGTGGAGCGTGCGCGGCATAAACGGCCGTGTGAAGCAGACTCGGGTCGACAAGCGCGCTCGTCTTCGTGCTCGTTCGCCTATCTAGCGCGATGCTCGACTTTCAGAGATTTTCCTCCCGACTGAAACAAGTACGATCGAAGTTGAAAGATTTTTTTTCTAATTTCACCTTAACTCGATTCGAAATAGAAAATAAAAGATAAGGAGAAGTAATCTTGAGCCTTACATTTCCTGCCGAGGATTTATTGTAATTTTTGCCCAACTTCTTCGGAGGAGGGCCATTATTTTTAACGATAAGAATTAAACGGGACCTGAAATTCAGCGCGATATCTTCTTAAGTATTAAAGTAGTATAAAAGTCAGGGAGAAGGTCAAGATATCGAAGTGAAGAAGGAAAGACACGTGGGTACGTGATCTCGCATATCGTTTACGGGAACAGTTTGAGGTCAGCGTTGCTTTGGTACCGAGCCATTGGCAGAAGTTTGTAAACTCGTGAAACTTTTCAGATCAACAGCTGCTTGTTTTCGGTACATCGAATAAGGGGGAGGAAACTTCTTCCTTCGAATATGTTCTATGAAACGTTTATGATGCATTCGTGTTGTTGGTCGAACGATAGCTTCTTCCTCAACTTTCGACCTACCTTTTCCTTTCGACTATTGACTTTTTCTCCAATCTTTCCAAATTTTCAATAAAACACACAAATATGTATATTTCACTGATTAAAGTTTCAAATAAATGAAAACTTATTTAACGATGATATATCGTTTTCTGTTGAAGAACGAGAAGCTGGAGGTAAAACAGAAATGGGCCTCGCGGCTTTTAGGAAAATTACGAAAAGATATCACGCAAGAGTACCGAGAGGACTTCGTGTTAAGTATCACGGGGAAGAGGCCAGCCATGTGTGTCCTGAGTAATCCTGATCAGAAGGGTAAAATGCGTCGGATCGATTGCCTGCGTCAAGCCGATAAGGTATGTCTGACCATAGGTCTCCTTAATCTACTTACATCGTTACTTTGAAAATTGGAAAGTAAAGTGGTTCGATACAAGGAATAACGATAGATGGATCGTTATGTTGCAGGTATGGAGGTTGGATCTGGTAATGGTGATCCTGTTCAAGGCAATTCCGTTGGAGTCGACGGACGGGGAACGGCTAGAGAAGACTGCGGAATGTGCTCAGCCGGGTCTCTGCGTCAACCCCTATCACATCAACGTCTCCGTCCGGGAACTCGATCTCTACCTCGCCAATTTTATCACCAGCCATGGTAAGCGATAACCACCGTTATCCTTGCGATTAACCCGTTCGATGGTAAACGGGTTGAAACATCCAAACAAGCCATAACAGCGTGCGTCGCACTAGGCGTAGTTATTACTACTTCCCGATACAGCTTAATCCGAAAGACCGTTGGATCAGTGTTTGGCTACCAGCTGATTGATCGAGCAGATCCAAGCCGCGTGGATCGTCGTACGAATCTGGTCGCGCGTTCATTCATTCGCGTATCCGTCCATTCAAAGTGTCCGCTACGACTCGGCTTCGATTCAAAGTTTCTTGGAACGCTCTGCCAATTTGAAACCGGCCCCCATACAACGGGGCATTTCATGGCGCGAGTCTCTCGTTCCACTTTGCTGGCTCGGTTTCTCTCGACGAATCGCGCGTAGCCAGCAGATTTACACAGGTGGTCGTTCCTTCGGACAATTCCCCCTTCTGCCAAGTTTCATTTTTCGAACCTCGATTTATTCATCGAACCACCCTGATTCTATTTATAATCGACCGGATATTATCCGCGCCCTCGAAACGATTTTCATAGTTTCCTCTAATTCGAGATCTCGATGGAAATCACGCTTAGCGAATAATAATCGCGTCCGAACGTCGGGAGCGGAAGCTGCGAGTGGTGGATCGACGTTTCGATCGATCGTCTGCCAAGGAAAGCCAGGTGTGCGCGCGCGAACGTCTTCTTTCATTCGGATTCATCGAACTCACTGACTCAGTTGGGAAACACGTAATTTCCGTACACGCGCCTCCTGGCAGCCCGATAGCCCCGTGTACACCGTGCGCGCTGGCTCCTCTCCTTCTCTTTCTTTCTCTAACAGGCTACGAACCCCGGTTGGCAGCCGGCTTTCTAATGTTTACCAGCCGGTTGACGCAAAAATTGGCCAGGCCTACCGTCACCACCTACGAGAAGCTGAAGAAAAAAAAACGCCTGGCTGCCAAGACATGGGGTAGGTTAGGCACTCTCCAGACCGTTCGTCGCCTTCAATCTCCCTCCTTCTACGAATATCATTTATCATACTTCTACATTTTTCCCTTCTAATTAATGCATCTCGATGGTTTGTTCGAGACCAGACTGGGAAGCGGTGAAAATGTTTCCGGAAGACTTTGTTTGATCAACGATTGACTCTCTCTACTTTCCTCTACATTTTAGTGAGAATCCATTTTGAAACACTTAAGAAAATTGCGTTCCGAGTGTCTTGTTTATACCTCGTTCGTACGAGGGTGCTTCCTTTAATTGATGATCGAGTGATTGATTCGTTTAATCGAATAATGATGACTGATGATCGATACCGCAGCTGCGAGTGAATTTGATTGAAAAGAGTAATATAGGACACTCGATTCTAGGTTACGTATCCCACTAATGAGATCGGTATATTTAGCAGCAACCTCGAATATGGTATTTCTAATGTACATATGTATATGTTTTATTTTTCATCATATTTAAGTATATTCCCTTCGAGGGAAGTGTACTTTGGAGAGGAAATAATTTGTTCGGAGAAGTTTCTAGCATTTAATTGTCGAGTCTCTGGTCTTAAAATGGCGACCCAATTAGCGCCACTAACTGTTTCTTTTATTTTAAGTCCCTACCATTTAAAAGCCTTAAGAACCACGTATAATTCGTTCGTTAATTTGTTTCACTTTCGTGCCTTAAGTTTATAAATTTCTCGAAGCAATTCATTTAAAGAGATCAAGGTTCTACAGAAACGTCGAGGCTAGGAAACCATTTTGGATCAAGTTTCGTGTTAGATAAAGCGCGGGAAAAAATTGTTCGACGATCTCGTACGCGTTTGATTCGATGAACGATGCACGGGAAAGGATCAACATCATAAAAATTCCTTGCCCTGTGTAAATATACACGGGCACAGTAATAATATAAACCTGGTTGCCGGCAAGGCGTGGCGGATAGTCGAAGCGGTTCGCTACTTCGGACCCTTTCGGATTATCCGTCGCGTCGTCGACGTTCTGCTAAAAGTAGACACTTGCTCGGTTCGTTTCAACTGACCTAATAGAACGGTATTATTATAGAAGGGAAGTACACCGAGATACGAAGAGTAACGATGCGCGATATTACAATTTCTTCCCTGAAAATTGATCTCGAGTTTCATCTTCGTCATCGTTCGTGTTTCGAGAATTAAGGTAACAGGAGGTAAAGTAAAGAAAATGATTGGAGTGGCGATACGTCTGTTGTTTAGTATGGTTAGAAATTCGAACGACGGCTAGAAGGTTGATTAACGAAACGATGGCAAGGTGAGACAAAATAGAAAAGGGAAAGGGGGTAAGGAGGGATGAGGTCGCCGGTGACGCGGCCGCTGCGTATTCGCCCTAAGAGCTAAATATCGCCCGGATGGTTGCGTAAGTATCATCGTGTCTTATGAAAGTGTTAGAGAGGAGGACAGGTGCTTCGTTCGGCTTGTGTCGTTCTCGGACGCATCGAATTTTCGCGGTGCTACACTCGCTCCGTTTTAAACTCCGAAGGAAAAATCTAATCTGGCTCCGAACATTTTGTCGCTTTTCCAACACGCCACTTTCGAGCCACGTGGCTTTCTTTCACTTTCTGTCGATTAGAGAATATCCGAGCGATCGCACTTCGGTTCAGCCTGTAGAACCGATGCGACGGAACTCAGAACCGACGGGACGAAAGCTTCCAGAGCCTTCTAATCGCGTTCCACGACGTTCAAACAATTGGAAAACGCATAGATTATTTAAATTTTAATCTCCCATGCAAGTAACAATATTTGAGACTTTGAATTTTTTAAATTCTTTAAAAAATAATCATGGAATTTGAACATTTTTTCATTCAATTTATTGTTCCATCGTTCTACAAGGCTCTTTTGTTTATCAGTGATGAAAAATATAGTGAAAAAGGATCCTCGCGGATTTTTCGTCCACTCTCGATGGAAACGCGTGCGTTTGAATGTGTCGTGCTCGTGAGCATGTGACCATGCGTGCCAATGTGTGCTCGCTCTATAAATAAATAGCCGACGGACATCTTGTACCAAGTTGTCTGTCTCTGTTACTCTCTCGAACCACCGTGTGCTCGCTTATATGTTTGATTTTCATTCGTGTAGCCGCGAATACCTGAAATGAATATTCTCGTACCTGCGATTAATCCTCTCGACCCCTCCTCTTTTTACCACAGGACGTTGATTAAAAAAAGCTGCAGCACGATCCAAGCAAAAAAATCTTCTCTATCGTAAAATTAGTAGAATCGTTAAGAGTTTAATTTGTCTAGTTATTCGGTTGAATAAAATTTGAAGAAATCAGTGTCCTTGAGCGTCGCTGTCGTGCTCACTCATGGATCATATGGTGTCAACAGATTCGTTCTCTCTATTATTGTTCCAAGACCGAACCGAACGGACGTATATCTATGTATCTGCTGAAATTTCTGCGTCGCACACGCACCTGTCGACTAATTTTGCCGCGGACTCCTCTTAGAAGATCCTTCGCCTCGCTGTCGCGACGCGAACGTGGATTTATGCAAATTGAAATCGTATTCTCGTAACGTTCGAATCGTAGCAAAACTTGACAATATATACGAAATTCTCGTCGAAACATCGCGATCGCATCGATAGGGATCCGCTTATTGTCGTCAAATACGCCAGTCAACAACGACATAAGCTCCGCTGTCGCAATTAAAAATAACCCACGAGTGAACGTATGTTTGTTAACGTCTATTTATAAAACGTTCGTTCGTTTTTCACTACGGGGTACCAGCTTAGCTCGTCGTTGTTCCTAAGATCCGAGGGTGAGGACGCTGTTGCAAAACATCGTTTTTCCGAATTACCATTCGCGTACAACGCACATCCGTTCGAACGTGTATCTTTCGACGTGGCTCCTTTCTATGTCTTTCTATTGCGAGAGGGAAAGAGACAGAGAAGTCGAACACACGTTCCGGGCTCTCGTGTATTTCGGTGATATGTTGCGTAATGAGATTTGCGTAAGGTTCCGCGATATAAAACACCGTGCGACAGCGAAGGTGAAACAAGATGCATCGAGAATATCGTTTCCCGACATTTCGCGGCGACGATGATCCGAGAATCGTTCCGATCGCTGCGAATCGTTCGATCATTGTACTAAAAATGAAATTTTTTTTTTTCTGTTTGTTACAGAGGTCCTAAATGGCATCTGTAACGCGAGCAAAGAAGAAGAGAGGCGGCGAAAAGGTAATTTTCGTTATCAAACTGTTTAATAAACCGGGGGGGAATGAACAATGCGCTAAAGAAACGAACGAAATGAAAGAAATTCGACGAACAACATTCTGATATAGTGTATCGGTTAAAAAAAAGATGAAAATTAACGAGATTAAATGTTCGTCGACTGGGTTTTGTTGCCAGGTACAGGCTACCACGAACTATATAACGGTGTTGTCTGCAATGACACGATCCTAGCGACAGGTGTCTTCAGCTCCAAGGAGCTCTGGATGCTTTCAAAAGGTACGACACGTTCTCTTTCTTCAACAAAAACGTCGTTGCCTGTCGTTGCATGAACGAAATTAAAGAAACTTCTAGGATATCGAGGCTCTCTTTCAATTTGTTTCACACCGACGACAGAGAGGCTAGCTACGGATGCTTTCGAAAGGTAACGCGGCAAGTCGAATCGTAGAAAACCTTTTGAAAGCATCCTATTTTTTACAACCACACAGTTGTTACATATTCGATACAATGCGTTGCGTTAAAAAGATCGTGTCCCGTGAATCGAAACGAATACTTGGCTTATTTCCTAAAGTTCATTCATACTCATCGGCGCTTCGCGTATCGAGCACGGTTTCTTTCAAAACTCCCTCTTCTAAGCCACCGAAACGCAATGGGGTAGTTGACGTTTCGAGGATTGAAGCGGTAAAATTCGATGAATTCCGCGTCGAAGCGTTCGGATCGTTGGGTTGATATTTAAGATTGCGCATCGATGGATTTGAGATCGTCAGGTTTCGAAAATATGTTCGATCGGAGTGCAAAGATCGACAGAAACGTCGAGGAAGCTGTGCCGGTATCGGTAGGAAGAGAGGAATAGCAGGGAGAGACAGGGAGAGACCGGGGGCAGAAAGAGATGCTGCGAGGCTCTCTCAGCAGCCTCTGAGGCCGTGAGCATTGTTCCCCGTCTATTAATACACCGGGTTGCATACTAATCTCCTGCTACGGTGACGCAGAGGAGAGTCGGAGGGGAGAGGGATGGAAAAAGAAGGAGGAGGAGGAGGAGTGCAGATGCATATGTCGAGGCGTTTCGAAGCTCGCGCCGCTTCTCGATACGCGCCCCCCTGCCCTATTATTCCATTTACTGGCGATGCACGCGTGCCACCATGCTCTTTTTCAAAATTCGTCGAAACTACACTTAAGAACGTTTATTCAAACGTACATTTTTAATATCCCATCCGTGTCGAAGCAACGAAAGGGTTAACCACCCTGTCCCCCTCTCATCAGCGAGTATCCAGGAACATTTTTTTCAAAGTTCACCGGTTTCGCTGGGTCCAACGTTGGCTTCTGAAAAAAGAAAAAAAAAAACGCGAATCACGTGGTCGGCGCCGCACGCGATTTTCCACGAATTTTTTTCCACCCCCATCCCTCAACGTTCCCCGGATACGTCAGTGCTTTTTTGTCAACAATGCACCCACACGTACGGTGCAGCTCGAGCGAGCAGAAAAATGGTAGGCCCGCAGGGTGGTAGTATTTTCCGGACTTTTTTTTCCTCCTCCTCCTCCACCTCCTCCCTTACCGATGTTCACCAGCCACACACGTAGGCTGGATAAAAAAAAAAAAGGGGGTGCAATTTCCGCGGGGGTGGAGTGAAATAGAGAAGAATATCCTGTATGGATGGCGACGATGTGTAAGACAGGAGTATAATAGAAACAGAGGGACGGAGTCGGGGATCATCGAAACACGAGAATTATTTTTTAAAGAAACCAAACGGGATATTTTCGTTAATTTTAATTGATATTACGCTTCCTCTAGATATATCGCGTTAGACACTGCTGGGTAGACCGTGGACAGTACTGAAATCGGTATCCGGGCTTTCTCCAGACATAGGGTGGAATGGGATCGAAGGGGTTGGGGTACACAGGTTTACGAGGGAGAGACGCTTACACAAGATGCAAATGCCACGGCAGTAGCTCAACCTAATTGGTCGTTGACCGTCGTGCGCGGGGATCCCTATATTTACGCGTCGCCAACTGCGACAAACTGGAATCCTATTATTTTATGGTGGCGCTGATTCAGCGCAACGTGTAACTGGAGCGTATTCTAATGGCCGAGCCAGGATTAATTAACCGCCTCCCCCCCCTTTTGAAACACGGCTGTTCAAGCGGCACGCGTTCGAATCTATGGACACGATCGATTTAACGTCTGATCGATGGATTATCCTATCGAATACCCCTTACACGATCCCTTCGAGTCTTCTTAGACACTTGGAACCATAAATCTCGATATCCTAGAAATATAAGAACATTACGACTGACTTGGTCGCAAAATTCGCTTCTCCTCTCTGTCTGCAACATCGCAGAGGTAAGGGTAAGGTTCTCGAAGGAAAACGCGCGGAAGTGCGATTTCCTCGAGAATCGGGCACGCAAGAAAACAAAACCAACGACAACCGACGACCGACGACCGACGAGGAGGAGAAGCGAATGACGTACGAAGGCGCGAGGATCCGTAACCGCTAATGTGTGTCTGGTTTCAGCGTCCATACTGCATGACCTCAGCGACATGCAGCCTCAAATAAACGCGATCAAAATAGAGCACCCGCCGTACTACTGCAGCAGCTACACCCCTCCGTCCGCAGCCACGGCCGCGGATCATGCTCAGCCAGCGGCTAGCTTCAGTGAGTTTCAAAATCTCTACGTTCGTCCTTATTTTTAGTGGATGGCACGCTTGTCACCCGGTTCTGCGGATTCGCGGAACGGTACGCGTCGCGAGGCGCCACGTTACGATGCCCGACGCGCGGGCAACCGGACCGATCGCAGATCGTTTGATCGTATGATGCTTCGCGAATCGAAGCGTTACGATTTTCCTGCTGCGAGGTTAACGCGTTTGCGATTCGACGGATCGTAATTCGAAGCATCGTAAGTTGCCGCGTCACGCTAGCGTCAGGCATCGTTGCGCTGCAATTGCTCCGCCGAGTGCATCCGCGATACTTGCCTTACTCTCGCAATGCAACAGAGGCCTTGTTTATCGGCTGCAGTTTGCGAAACTGTGATTTCCCGATATTTTTATCGTTTTGTTGCGCGCCTACACTAAAATTAAACCCGTTCGAGGACACTCGGAACTATGCGGAATCGCGTGCAACGGCGTGCATCATTTTATGTTGGATTTCGATGAATCCATCGATTGTATATCTCATCGATTGCTCGACTTTATTTCGCTCGTCGAAATAATCTAACATAAACCAGCAGGATTTAAACAATTATCAGAGTTTATCAGCTTTGGGTAACAAATTTTCAGCAGTCACAGGTTGGACGTTCTTTTTCCTTCTACTTTTTTTTTTTTTTTTGGTTCACCAGTTCAATCTAATCCCGTGGGCTTATCGGAAGGTTCTTTGTTATTGGGATCTACTTTGCTCAGCGTTCTATAGATCATTTTCCCTATATTTTTCCCTTTCGTTTCTCTATTTTCTTTCTATTCTCCGTGCTCCTCCCTTTATCACTGCGGCCCCGCTCCTCGACCCCTGCACGCCACCCTCTCTCTTTTAACTCTTTCATCGATCAAACGATAACCCCCTCTCTGAAACGGAAGTCGGTGTATGGAGATGAAAAAGAGGAATAACTTCCGGGTGAAGCCTTTTCGGGGGAAAAACGAGAACGAAAACCGACGGGATTGTATATATAGGGGATTGGCAAAGTGTTTGTCGTGCTAATTTCTCTCTGAAAAAAAAACTTGAAGCTTCTTTTTCAAATTCGTGTAAAATCATTCGCTCGAAGCTTCGATTTGTTCCGATTCGAGGAAAATTGAAGATTGACACGTTTTAATCTCGAAAAAGTGTAGTCGAAGCTAGTAGGGATTGCAGCAGCGTCGGATAGACGGAATTTACGGACGGAATAAAATGACCACTTTCTCAAGCAAAATACACACGCGGTAGGAAAAATTCCGGCAATAAGCATAGCTGGACCATAGCCAACCGCATTCTCCGTGTTCCCTTTTTATCATACATACATACCATACGTACGTATGTACATCCGTTGCCTTTATAGCCGACCACGGGACGCTTGATCAACTGTATTGTCGTTGAATTAACGGCTCGCGTAAATATCGTTGCATGTTGGCCACTTCGAGCGAAGCTAATTTTATTGCACCAAGAACGACGACTAAAAGCGATTTTACGCAAATCCTCGCTCCGCGTTGCAACCCCCTTTGTGGGGGTAGTTTCTTGCGAGTATCCCCTTCCTCGGGATCTGCCCGAACAGGGGTCTGTTGTGCCAAGGACATCGTGCAGTTTGATAGATTTCTTCTTTATGACGTGTTCTTCCTCTTGATCTAAGAGTTGGAACTAGTTTTTCTTTTCTTTACGGGGTCATCCTTTGTTTCCCTCAAGTTATGATAGAAATTTTTCAAAAATATTAATTGCCAAACTTTCGATCCGAATTCTAATACACGATTTATTAGATTGTTTTACGTAAGTCTTGCGCGAAATTGAGAATAAAATAACGTGGGTCGTTCGTTCAGAAAAACACTCTTTGTTAGCTGGCTGAATGCAGATACGAAAGAATGTAAGGGAATATAAAGCAGAGGAAATACAAAAAGAGAATAAGGAAATTTTTCTTTCACGATCGGTGCCATTCAGCTGGATCTTAGAAGGAAAAATGTAAAGAAATTTTTGTAAGTGGAATTGATCATTTGAAATAAGCATGGTGCAATTGAAATATAGAGAAGCTAGATAGGAAAAATCATGAAATTTCGTGAATCTAAGTAAATACTAGGAGAGTAGGAATATTTTTCCTTAAATAGATCGAGCTTTTAAAGTCGCGCTACCCTCGGGCGAACAAAGTCGAGCTCTTTCGTTTCACTGTTTACTTAAGCTTCTCTTTATCTTCTTTCCCTTGTATCTTTCCTTTCCTCTTTCTTTACAAATATTTTCGAACTGGTAGCGGAACCGACTAGACGAGGACTTCGATTCAAGATTCATTCAATCACGAAAAATATTATTCAATTTTGTTCGTTCTTTTTTTTTTATAGGCCCACCACCGGTGCACCAGCTCATACGGAACGACAAGACTGAAAAAGCCCCGACGGTTTCCGTTTCGAGTGCGCCGACCTTCTCGCCGGTCCTCAGGCCCGAGGATGGTCATCGTGGAATGGACTCTCCGCATTCGCAGACGGGTATGTGACGCTATCAAACGCTCATTTTATCCATATTTAGCATACATAACTGGAAAATGCCCATCGGAAGACTTTTCCACTAATCGGAGGATCCTTTGATTTTTTGAAGCTTTTTAAAAATCATTCCGATTATCAAATAGAATTTTTGAAGTTACTAGAAATCTTAGAAATTAAATTCGATTTTATCAAGGGATCCTCCGACCAATATTTAGTAGCAAGTGTTAATTAGCGGTGTCCCGACGCGTATACTCTTCAAAATATAAAATATCGTAATTGAATAAGTGCGCAGACATTTGAATGCACCCTTAGAGCGTTGACGCGTCGAGACACCCTTCAAAGCCAGCCCAATACACCGGATGCCCAAAAGAAACATTATTAACGATCTCCTTAAGGATGTAACCCAGAAAGACCCTCGAAAGAAATCAATCGGAAGCGCGTTCTCTTTTTTTTTTTCTATTTTCTTGACACAGCGTTTGATTACGGGGAGAACTGTAAGTACCCTGCAATGTCGGAATGCACCCTTCGCTAGAGACCGGAAGTTGAGCAATGACACAGCACACAGAAATGGTCTCTCGAATCTTCGTCGTTTCTCCCAAACCTACCTCCACCCCCTCTGTTCTCTGTTTTATCTGTCCGTGAAGCCCAACAGGAAGGGTTGTAATCGAAGGAACATCATCCACCTTTTACCCTATATCTCTGCGCTTCAGTTTTGTCCGCTTTTGCCTGACGAGTTCACTAACACGAGACACCTAACAAAGTAACGTCAAAAGAGAAGAATGAGAGTGACCCACCCTGTTCTTTGGACGTCCAAGAACGTCCGTGTATTATTTTCACCGTCGTTCGCTCGCATCGGTCATTCTTGACCCTCGTCCATCACCGATTCCGCGTCATTCGTCGATGTTCGAGCTGACTGTTGAATTTTACAAATGTATTTCTCGAATTCCGGTGATTGCACCGGTGCTTAAATTGTTTTTTTTTTTAACGAATCGTATTTATTTCCGAGAAAGGGTTGAAGGATAAAAAATCGACATTGTTACGATCGATACTGTTTTCGCAGCATCTCGGAGACATTAACTCCGCCGAGTGCCGTATATTCATGCGGAAGTCGTGTTTTTCCCCTGTACCAGGGGTTTATGCGTTTTTAATGTGCATCCTCGTTGCTTCGCGCAGCCAAGCTCGAACATCCTCACCGACATTTGCCGCCTCGAATGTCCAGTGTGCGATAGACCCAAACTGAGCTCAGCCAGGCATCATGTAAGTAAAAATCGCTCCTTTCCTGGATCTCGATCCTCGCGATTACTTGATCGTCGAGCGTCCACGTTGTCTCGCTAACCCACTTTCCAACAACTTCCGGAATTTATTTTTTTTTTATTTTTAAGAAATTTATGGAAGGGGAAGACTTGGTTGGAATTAGAGAAAATATGGAAAAAAATGAAAAAGAGTAAGTATTAGTAAATAATCGTCTAGTATACCGATTGTCCGATGAAAATGAGAACGTACTTTTATATTAGGAACGAGATGCTCGAAAGTAGGTTAGTGGGACTTGACGCGACTTTTCGACCAGTCGAATAAAATACAAGGACGTCCAAGAAAACTTACTATCCTCCTTAAACAAATCCTTCGAAACAATCACCATTATTTCCATCGAGGAATAAATCATTTAGAGAAAGCATCGAAGTTGTCTGAGAGAAATGTTGAAAACGAAATAGGATCGGGACCAGGAAAAATATCTTGAAGAACAGCGAGCAGAAGGTTTCGAACGATCTGCAGGATCGATGATCGATGATCAATGGCCAAGTGCCATTCATAATGTCGCGTGAAAATGACACGTGATGATCTCTGTTTCAGTCTGAGCCCGAGCGTAGAGAGAAGCTCGCTAACTCGACTAAAAGGTACTTTGTGACTGGTTATTGACTGTTCTATATATCTATACATATATATATACATATCTATATCTATCTCTATATATTTATCACGTATCGTATACGTATATATTGTCAATGTATATACGTGTATTCGTGTACACGCGACGGACACGTGTTTCGGTTGAAAAATTTCAGGGTTGCATAGCTTCAAAGTTTCTAAATTTCCAAATTTCCAAGTTACCTAATCTTTAAATTTTCAAATTTCTAAATTTCCAAATTACCAAATTACCAAATTTCTAAATGTCCAGATCTCCAAATTACTGAATTACCAAATTTCTAAATTTCCAAATTACCAAATTACCTAATTACCATATTTCTAAATTTCCAAATTACCAAATTACCTAATCTCTAAATTTTCAAATCTCCAAATTTCCAAATTACCAAATTACCAAATTACTAAATTTCCAAATTTCCAAATTACCAAATTACCAAGTTTCTAAATTTCCAAATTACGAAATTTCTAAATTTCCAAACTCCCAAGCTTCCCATCTCCCAAATTTCAGTAGTTCGAAACTTTCAAAGCTTTCAAATTTCCAACTTTCCAAATTTCAAAGCGGAGCTGACAATCACCGTGAACTAACAAATATTTTTTTAATAAAGAAATCCACGTGTCTGTAAAGAGTGTACCAATACACATGCATCACGATGTCGTATACGCTCGAATATATATATATATATTTTTCTCTATTGCTATCACGTTTGTCATTTTTCCTTTCCATGGTTGTTTCTTTTCTCACTATCTGCTCTCTGTCGTCTCTCTCCTTTTCCTTACTTTCTTCTCTTTTTCTCTTTCTTTCTCACAGAAATCACACATACACGTATAAAGACACCGTGTAGATCGATGCAAAACTTTGGAACGTTTTATCAGATACACATAAATATATATTAGTTTCGTAGAATGCGACTCTTTGTTTCTCTTCTGTGCATACTGTATCGTGAAATTGGAAACTGACGATTCGTGCGTTCAAGCTTCATTGCGATCGATCTATAGGAAATAGTAGGAGAAAATTGAAAGAGTTTCTATGGGGCTGAACTTTCATACGATAGATGAATTTTTCTTGGAATCAAATAATATACTGAAAGGTGTAAAGTTTTCTACTTTCTACATTTGAAGGTTCGAAAATTTAATCAGTGATATTATATGGAAGATACAAATTTGTAAATTTTTCATATTATAAAAATTTCAAGATTTCTAACTTTTGGTGCTCGAGATTTTCGAAAGGAGCAAGGTTTTAGAGCAGCCATTAGCTCGCGAGATCGCAGTAGGCTGAAACTAGCGAATCGTCGACGCAGCTGGAAATTGCACAATCACGCTCCCGGCCACCCCATCCACCACACCACTTTATATCTCGCCGAGTGTGTATCGATGTCCCCGCGAGCCTCGCACCGCACAGCCTTTTTCTAACCGCGTGAAAATCCACCCTCTTGCACACTAACACCGCTACACAATTGCAGCAAAGTATTCGAACAAAACGTTATCCCCTCACCTGAAACTGCGCTTGCAAATTTATCAAGATTACACACTGTTCGAATATTTTCTCCTACCCCTGTGCAACCTCGATCTCCAAGGCGTTATCGATTCGATTAGAAAATAAATTTCCTCGAGTTACGAAAGGATCGAGCGTCTTCCATGAAGCTGAATTCCTTAGAATAAACGAATCAATTACCCGAATCGAAGGTGCCTTGAAATCCCTGTCCAAACAAGTCTTGGTGAAAGAAAAAGGGAAAAAGGAGACGCGTGACGAAGGAGGAGGTGAAAACGGAGAGGAACGCAGGAGGCATGCACCGTCAAGTAACCCTCGAACGCCTTTGCTATCGATCTCCACGATGTTCCGAACTTCTTACGTCCAACTATACTTACATTCCCCTTTAGGGAGTTTCTACCGAGCCAGGTGACATCTTTCTACCTTGCCCCTTCACTATTTCCATAGGTCCCTTTCTTGGGTCCTATGGATAACATTGACCTAGAATAGTACTCATTTCATATTCCTGTCTCCCTATTCAGAACACCCATCGACTCCCAAGTCTCTCAAGGACCTTCGACTCCTGCGGGCAGCTCTAACCTAGAACAACCCACCCTGTGACTTATCCACCCAGAGAGTAAGTGAGAAATCGCCTGGGTTCGTGGAAGCTCCATAAAGAATCCCATGGACAGCGGTGTCTTAATCCAATAAATCTACTCCCAATCGTGCTAAGTGCAGTGCTTAATTTCAGGAGGATCCTGGCCTCTAATTTATCGTTTGCTCGAGCTAAGACTCTCCATCATCCCTAAGGAGGTTCTCATTCAGGATAATCAAGAAACTTAAGCAGCTGTTATAGAAGTTTATGGATTTGCTCTTGATGAGAAATTAAGCACTGTCCTTTTGTACCGTTGCTCGACGAGCTCGAAATACTCTATGCTGTTGTGATGGTAGTTGTTGCACCGTGTTTCACTTGGTAATATCGTGATTGGTTGCGTTTTATTGGTATCACGACAGAGTATACACTGTTCCTTACACACCACAAAAGCTTGGCTGTTCGTTTCATTCGCAAACTCTCTCGTCCCGACTCTTTCGCGTTCAATTCTGACCCACGTGTCTTGGACGGGATCGATAGGGGCATTCCTGATTTTATAACGTCACTAGGTCCTTACACTTCAACGTTAACAGTTGATTTTTCTTGTTTTTATATTATTATACTTTCCACTCGTCTTCTAATGGTAATTAGAAATTTAAACAAATTTCTCTCTCTCTCTCTCTCTCTGTTAATAAAAATGCTTTGAAACAAGCGAGAAATGAAATAATCCTTGATAAACGTTCCAAAGCATTTGCAACGTCTCCTATCTGCTCGATTGAAAAAGAGAGGATTGAGAGGAAGGGAGAGGGACAGGCGGGCAGAAGAAAGTGGACTAATTAGCAATGGTCCTTTTGTCCGGCACAGGGGAATCCCCGAGAAATCCACCTGACGTCTGATTGCGATACGGTAAACCGCTGCTAAACGAGCAATCGAGAAAGCAAGAATGCTCCATGTTAGCCCCTTAATCAGAATTTTTTGTGTGTTAGCTCGGTGTTGCATCTATCTCTATCTATATCTGTCTATCTCCCTGTATATCTATTCATCTCTGTTCGTATACGCGTGTGCCTGTATACACGTATACGCGGAGATCGCGGTAATTATTGCAAACAGATTACCTATTTTATCGGTCTGCAAATATAACCCCATCATTTCACCAGTAATTATCAATATAAGTATCCTGTATTAATTAATGTTTTGTATTTAATGTGAGATTTATTCTCAAGTAGAGAATACCCTCACGTTTGATTTTAAATTACAATTTTTATTTCAGATTCTCTTTCATTTTTTCAAGCTTCATACCACGATGATTAATTAGATGTGTACAAGCACCTATGTTTGCAATAATTGTCGGCACGTTTGTATAGCCGCCTGCAGCTGTGTGCACGATTGTTCGCGCAATGCTGTCGTTGTTAGGCGAGCTGAATTTTCTTATTTCTTTTCACTTATTTTCCTTTTATTCTCCATTGGATGATTCAATTTCTAAATTTTGTTATCGATGAAATAGCCTGTGGAAGATTTTATTCTTTCCTTGGTTCGTTTGGAGAAATTGAATCAATCGAATGTTTATCGTAGTTTCGAATAACGCGTACACGAGAGATAGACTTTTCGGTTTTAGTCTCCTTTGGATTTTTTCTTTTTTCGTTTCTTTTTCGTTCATTGAACGATCGACGAAGCTTCCGCTTTCAGGCATACGATACACATAGCCAATCGATTTAGATACGAAACATCGTTGATTTTTGGGAATCAAAAGCTTCTAACGATTTTTCAAAGTAAGAATACCCTTTGTAAACTAAATTCAATCTCTCAATCGATAAATTGTTATATCTCCAAGCGGATATTCGCAGTATTTATCGGGCCAGACCCAGGAGTAACACTTTATGCGTCGCGTCTGACCATTCATTGACCTATACTACTGCCAAATGAAAGATTCCCTGAAAATTCAATATTCCACGATTTTCCTCGGATTGCTTTCTAACAATTTTCTTATTTTCTTATCCTAAACATTAAATATTATCTTCTACAATGAATTTTTACCACAGGATAGAGCAAATCTCTCCCTTAAATTTTAAGTTCCCTCGGAATTTAATTGCCCTCCATTCTCCTTAGGTTACCTTGCAAAGTAAGAGGTACACAATGGTACCCCTTAAAAAGTCCAAAAAATACTAATAATTAAATAATTCAAAATAAATGAAAAACCATCGACTAATCTAACAAAAACTTAATGTCTTTTTATGTTTGCCTCTGTATGGAAACGAAAGTACACTCTACGATATTCCTGTTTATCACCTGTGTATGTATAGTACTGTATGTGTATAACTGTCTATTTGTATATTTTTCTTTTTTCTTCTTTTTTTTATCTAACGCCCTCGTTTTGTGCCTGTCCGTCTGACTGACCTGTCTGTTGTCGTAAACGCGAAACGATAAAGTACCCAAGTTTCGAGATGTGCCTCGTTTAGCCTGTCCTGTGCTCGGTCGTTTTCCGAGGGAGAAAGCGCAAGTATTTGGGAAGAATCGGGCCCCCCCCCCCCCCCCGGTATTTCGATATCAAGGGAAAACGAATGTGTCGGGGCTTGGAAACGGAGAGACAGACAGACAGACAGACAGTCGGACGGGATTTCTTGCTAACTGCGTAGTACCGGTCTACCTGGTAAGCTAGCTGTCGCTGTCTGTCCGTCTGTCAGTCTGTCTGTTTGTCTGTTCGTTTGTCTGTCTGTCTGTCTGCCCACCCTGTTACACCCACCTGTTCACGTATTACTATTTTTTAAGGGTACAGCCTCGAGTCGAAGGGAGTTCTTCAGGGTTCGTGATGGAACAAAGATCGTTATTGGTGTCTCTGAGAATTTGGTATTTTAAAAATTGATTTTTATATAAACATTGGGGATATTTGAAAAATATTTTTTAGAGACCTTTCAAATTCTCAGAGCCATACAGAAATCTCTCGTAAATCGAGACTGTACTCGTCTAAAACGTGCACACCATATATATATTATCTCTATCTCACTCACTGTCACACGGCCAATGCTCTGGGTATGTCGTATGCTGGATGAACTAATTAAGTAATTGATTATTATCTAACTTCATTAACTGACTTGATTACTAATTCGATTAATTTCTGATACCTTGATCGAGACTTGTTTATTGTATCTCTATTCTGTCTGTTTCTCTGTCTATCTATCTCCGTACGATACTACCTATATATATAAATATATTATATATATATATTCTCTATTGTTGTGCAATGTTGGTGTTTGTTGTTTACCATATACATATATATATACATACATACATACATATATATATTATCTCATATATATGTATATCATTGTATTGATGTTGATGTTGTTACCTTGATGTTTTTTGATGTGTTGTTTAATCGTTGTTATCTTGCTGTTTGATGTTTGTTGTTGCACTATATCTATCTCTGTCTATATATATTATATATATACATACATCTATATGTATATATACATACATGTATATAAACACATGTTGCGTGACATACGTGTACGTGGGAGCGGCCTAATTTAATATCAAATTTCAAATATAAAATTTAACGCGTTGACTGTCGTAATTTTATGGTATTGATGACACGTATGGAGGTCAAGGTATTAACAATTAAGTGATTGGAGGATCCTTGATGGAACCCTAGCGCGCCCGCACGTACACGAAGATACATAAGTACATGTACATTTCAGCCATCCAGCCTTCACGCTTGGAGTGCCTTATATATATATATATATACATATATATTTAACACGATCGTTATAGTTGGTCGCCCCCTCTTCCTAAGAAGTACCACTAAAACCACCCCCTAACAGACTGGCAGCAGCAATCGTTACCTCTGTTTTGCTAACCCTTCTACTAAATTCTCTGTATACGTGTTCGAACCGGCCGAAAGCTTGGCTAACTCTATGTACGAATAATTTATTAACAGCAATTAACAATCGCTAATCGTTCGTCAACGTTCGTCATCTGGTGAATAAAGGAAAGAAAGAATTTTCAATTTTTATAGAATCCTATATTAAAGGAAAGGGGATGAAACGGAGTCGATTAAGAAGAAACGGTCGAATTTTAGGGGGTGGTTTGGTCGTGGCCGAGGACAGGGACGGTCAGACGATGACAGTGGTGAATTGTGTTTCAGGATTGCACTCTCCTCACGAAGGACTGGCCGGTGGTTCCGGTCAGAGCATGTCCGGGCTAGCCTACTACCAGCCAGAGCATCCTGCCTCCAGCGGGGTGGTCAAGTACCCCGAGAACGGTCACGACACCCTCTCCGATTTCGTGACGTTCGTTTGTCAGGAGGCGGAGAATACTCAGCAGTTGCCCCAGGTAGCTTCCGGATCCTTTTTAAAGCCGCCACATTGTATCGTTCTTCGGGAAGACCTTCTTCATCTTTTCCCCTTAAATTGTCACGATGAAGAATTCCTTTTTTAGAAGGACGAGGACAACGTGGCGAGTCCTATGCGACCTGCATCGTCATCCGTGTTCCAATCGCCCTGAATTTTTCGCAATTAATTCGTATACGCGATAATTAATTAGCGTAAGAATGTTGAATCTTTTTAGCGTTTTTGATATGCCAAAATTTACCTGCCAAATGAACCCCTCGTTTGCTTAGCGAACTCAATTTTACGAATCCCTCCTTTTTTTCATCGATCCGTTCGCAAGCAAGGGGTCTAAGGAATGGAATCTGGAAAAAGAGCTCGCAGCTAGCGATGGCAAACGAGTCGTTAAGTCCTTTTATTTATAATTAACCGAAGTGTTGAGAATTTGAAAAAAAGATTCTTTAAAACGTCGAATTGCCATCGCTAAGAGCAAACGGGGAAAGAGAAAACGGGGTGAATGGATCACGCGCGGGTCGACGACGTTGATCGGTGGGTGTGTGGTATTTCCAGGCGCAGCTAGCCGGACCCCGCACTGGTATACAAAAGTTCTCACAGTATTATCCGAGCTCGATGCTGCCACCACCGCCGCCAGCCCCGATGGCGAGGCCGGTCGCCATCATAAGGTCGACCGGCGAGTTAACAGTCGCCAGCTCGAACTCACCCCCAACCTCGTCAACCTCGCCAACCGACCCCTCCGAACTGGCCTCCAGTCAAGAGCAGATGGCCGCAGCGGCCGCTGTCGGCCTCGTCAGTTCCGGTTGCCAGAGTTCCGTCGATCCTGCCGGAAGGAAGAGCCCAGCCAGGATCCTCGTAACGGCACCCCACACCAGCAGGGAATACACCTTTGCTCACTTTCACTCCCAACCCGGGCAAGTAAGTTTTTCGCAACAGATAAATTTCCGAGGCTATTCGATGACGTTGGTTCTCCGATAAACACGAACATTGGTATTTTTCTCGCAGCAAATATTCACGTATCCTACCATCAGCTCCATGTCGGGGGTGATCTCCCCGACGAACCTCTCCCTTTTCTCGTCGCCGGTGTCGGTGACGAGGCCAGTCGCTACCCAGAGATCGGTGTCCAACGTGCCACCTCGCTGGAACACTGCGCCGTTCATCAACCTCGAGGATGACTACAACATGATCGCCCCGATCATCACAGGAACCGCCAGCGAGCCGCCTTCCACCATGGACGAAGGTCAGTAACAACTAACAAAAGTACTCTACCGCTTGTGGACAGGATTGATCTAGTGGACAAGTATAAATACTACTAAATTCATGTAACCAAAGGTCTACCAAAACCTTGCAGAACGATACTTCCATCCAGTGCACACGAGCAGCGTGGTGGACAAGAGCGGTGCTGGTAACATGATGAGCACAGACCTAGGTGACCCCACGTCGCATCACCATCAGCAACAGCAGCAATCGCAGCAGCAACAACAACAGCAAACGCAGCAGCAACAACAAACGCAGCAACAGCAACAACAGCAGCAGCAGCAGCAGCAACAAGTGATGCAGGACAAGAGCGGCAGACCGAAGTCTCCCCCGTGACACTGGAGGCTTAGAGCGGAAAGTCTCGAGAAGCTCGCATGTTCCACGGGGTCGTTACTCACCACCGCGTACGATAATAACCCTGAGCCGGAGGGGAATCGCCAGGATTCCTCGTGTCGTGTTCAGCTTCGCGACCTAAGCCTGCGGAGAATCGAGTGCCTGAGAGTCTGATCGTAGTTTAAGCGGACACAGTCGAGGGATCGAGGCGCTTCCGGCATAGCGGCCCACCCGCCACTCTCGAGACTAAACTGAGACCAGGGTCGATCGATCGTTGGTCGAGCCTTGCCACCCGCCAGGCTAACTCTTTAACCCTCTGAGGGACACCGCTTCGAAAAGTTCCTACCTTTCGTGCTTCTATTCCGTATAGATTTTTCCTTTCGTTAGAAAACCCTCCCTCCGTTCTGTGTGTTTCAAATGGTATGACTTAGCTAACTGTTACTCTAACTTGGGATCAAAGGACTTAGCTTTTAGATTTATCAAAATTTATTAACAACAGTGTCAATTCTGTTTCTGACAGAGAATTTGTCTTAAGAATGAAGGACGCACTTTCACCTCAGGGGGTTAACGTATTCGGTCAATTATTACTTCCGCTCGTCGGTGCGACGGCCTTCGCGCCACCGGAAGCGTCGTTTTCCTCTCTCGAAACACTGTTAATTTGTAACTTTCTCTCCCTCTCTCTCTCTCTCTCTCTCTCTCTCTCTCTCTCTCTCTCTTGAATGTCCTCGAAGGACGTGAGTAAGGACCCCCATTTCGCCACCTAATCGAAAGCGTCTCCGATCGGTCGCCGATCGGTCCCGTCGACTACACCGCAGACGATTCAAACACCAAACACAAACAAAATGAAAGAGAGAACTAAGTAGAGTAATCGTTTCTCGCGCGATTTTATAAACGAATCTATTCCTATTCTTCCTGCTTCGAGGCCCTTCCGAAAGCGTTTTTGTACATACACGCGAGACTCTTCGACGGCTAAGCTCAGTCTCGCCGTCGCGGTATTTTGTAACATTTTAGAGGATTCTAGAGTGTAGTAGTGTCGAAAGGGAACCAAGGAACTTCCGGTTCCCTGTCAAATTCTCTTCCAGATGAAGGTTCAGAGCAGGCCTGCAAAGCAAGAACTTTAGTGTGCTTTACCTCGATATCAATGTAAACTTAATCTACCCTTAATCACTATTCTCTAGTGACTATAATTTGGTAGCTTCCCGTCACTATAGTTTACTAACGTTACTCTATATTTTATAACTTAGCGTTCCAATGTAAACTAAGCTTTGAAGCCAAATCTCCATGAAAAAGCTACTATGATATTGATTCAGACAACTTGCTCAGCAGGCCTGGTTTAGAATAAACCATCGAGGAGAAAAATGAATGATAAAAGAAAAAATGAAAAAAGATTTTCTAGTGCCAATTTTTCGAGTAGCTTATAAATATTATAACGAAATTATAATTTTCTATTATATTTTTTTATAATATTTATGAAGGAACACACACGCTTGTTTAGACGCGTCGGCGGAAGTGGTTTTTTGTAGTCGAGGCAGAGGCTTCTTCTTCTTGGAGCGTTTTTAAGAAAGCCCAGAGAAAGAGAACAAGAAGAGAATAAAAAAATGAAATGAGTATAATGATAATAATTATTGTTATTATAGAAGAAGGTCGAGGGGATCCGATCGACGAGTCCGGTGGAACGGAAGGTAAAACCGGTCCACGAACCACGGATAATAAATATTAATTATTGAATAACTTTCTAATTGTATTGTTAAAATAAATAATAATCGCCTAAATGCTCAGGCTAGTGCTGACACTAGTGAACACAACGAGGAGAAATGAAAACAGAGAGAAAGACTAGCTGCGGACTAGTCACCAGAGGCTGCTAGTTAGAAACAAAGTGAATATTTAATATTGAATTTATTATCGAGAATAGAGTACAGAAAATATGAGAAAGATACACGTTCAACTGCTGCGAGTACGACGAAGACGATAGAGGAGGAAGAGGAAGAGCGAAGATGGAAGGCGATGAATGCAAATGGAAAGTAGACGAATGGGAAAACGAAGATGGACGATATTCGAGATAGTGAGAGATCTATAGTTATTAACTATTTAGAAATTTAGTGGTAAACGTCGCGTGACGAGATATATTATTAATTGTAACATCGAACTCGACAACAACGAAGGTCCTAGCCTACAGGGTGCTTCATAATATGTGCGACTCGCTTTAATCTCAAAGAGAGGATATAAAACGTGTAACGAAAGTTCTTTTATTTTACTATGCGATAGAGTTTAACTCGTTTATTTAATAAAACGTTAGTTCGTCATCGGTTAAAGGTGTAAAACGTAAGTTGGTCGCATACGCGATGAAACGCCCTGTACATATTATTATTATTGTCCAAAGTGCTTTCCGTCGACTGTACGTTAAAGAGACTTTCATTTTTCTTTTCTGTTGGAATTGACCCCTTTCCCTGCTAGTGGAGGAGGATGGAAACAAAGGGTCTGTAAATTATACGTTATTGTTAATGAAAATAACGATTCGAATGTTTCGTTTGAACGGTGGTTAACGTTGGAATTAGTAGTAGTTTGAATAATCGTGATCCTGGCAGCGTGAGGTACACGAACCTCGAGGAACGACACGGTTCTTCGTTGGAGTTTTGTAAAGTGACATTTAAGTACTTATTTCTCTGTTCGAGTGATGGTTGAAAGGGTGCGCTGCGTCTTGCCCATTAGCGACTACTCCGATCCCAATGTGCAAGTTCATCGATACAAAGTGATTGGCTAATTCTAAGTTGACGCGATGATTAATTCAAGAAAATAAGATGACTATCGTTCAACAGCCACTGGTTGGTTTTTTCATTGCACTCCTCATCCTGATCATTGATTACAATCGCTTGCTTCTCTGCTTATTTCTAACATGGTACATGGTCGTAACGAGGGTGGGCTTGCACCCCTTTACTCTTAACATACTAATTGAAAATGGCTTCCAGTTGGAAAGGCTTAACTGTATGTATTTATATAAAGGAAGATTAGTATTCATTGTTTTAATAAAATTAAATCCAATGGGGAAGAACGAAGGCACCCTGTCAATCGGTTCGTAGTGATAGTACAAAGAGATCGAGACTAGCAATATCGGTAACTAGCAATAACTTAAGATAATACTTTGATATAAGATATAAAAACGCGGCGATAAGACGCTACTATATTCCTATAATAATGCTTGTAACGCTACTAACGCTACACAAGGCGTGTACCGCCGCACCTATCATTTACTACTACTACTACTGTACCACAACTACCATCACCACCATCACCATCAGCACCGCCATTGATAAGAAAGGAAAAAAAAAAGAAACTACCACTCATCCACCACCACCACCACCAATAATACTACTACTATTACTACTACTACTACTACTACTACTAACTACTAGCAGCGCTATTCTAAACTAATACTACTACTATTACCGCTACTATAACTATTAATTGTACACGAGGAAGAACGAGCTAACCGCATAACTATGTTACTAATTATACCGCCTATTCACTAAAATTAAGTCGATAAAACCGTGAAGGGCCGCTCTGACTACTATTAAATAATTAATTGACTAAACTACTAATTAATCGCTTTACGATTATACGGTTACTACGGGAGAGAACGATTATTAGTGTAAATATTCGAGGTGATAAGTTACGTTAACGCGTGTACACGATGAACCACCGTGTTCGGTGAATTTTTCACGGATCGTTCGCGTTTCAAAGGGCGAAGGGTTGTTTATTAATCCATTGCCGTGTGATCTAAATAATCGAGCCGTTCTTTTTATATCGGTACATCGTTGATGGAATGGAAAAGAAAATTGAAACGATAATTCTAATTAGCTTCGATGTTGCATTTTAAGGTCACCAGGGAAAGGGTTATTCGACAACTCGATGGACATTTTTATTAGGGGAATAAAGCGAAGGTGGCTTGTTAAGTAGCTTGTTAAGTAGCGTTTTATAAAATTAGAGTTAAACTGGATAGGTTTGCTTGAAAGATAAAAAGACAAGAATAGTGTCGTCGAGGTACCTTCGCTCTACGCGAACGATTTCAGAGAAAGGGATGGTTCACCCTGAACCAGCAGATAGTTATTATTACGCACAGGGGTTGAAAGATAGACGTATGGATCTTTGTAACCCTGGATCCCATCGATCGAGGATTCTGCACACCCCTTTTCACCCCCTTGATCAACCACCCCAATTTCCGAAAATTACTTAAACGTGGTAATGAATTTTATTTGTCGTGTAAATAAATGATTCTGTTCGATGGTGGTAGAGTCAAAGGGTTGAAAGGACGATCGCGATAGACGTGTAAGGGATTTTAATACTTTCCTTGATGCCAATAGGGATTGCGAAAGAAGGGCACACGGTGTTCTTATTTTGTTAAACGAAGACGCGCTCGTCGTCGACGATCAAAGAAATTTCGATGATGAAAAATTATAGTTAAACAAGACTCTAACGAAACAAGGGTGGTTCCGGGATAACGCGAACACGTTATTGCTCTTTTTATCATGTTTTTAGAAAATTGTGAATAAACCAATTGTGTAGAGTGCCAATTAACTGTAGAAGAATTGTAAAATAATGTTAGAATACGGGGTGAGCTTCTTAGAGATGAAAGGGGTAAGATCCTTCGTTTATATTTGTTCGCTTCGTTTCGCGATCAACCGTTCGAATCCACCCTTCCAGGTTTCTGCTCAAAAAATATAATGTCAAGCTCGCGTCGCGTTCATTTTCGCGATGAAATAAAAATACACTTTTGTACAGCGTCTCGAGCTGCCTTGAACCGAAAGTGCATTAAAAGAATCGTCCGCACCATGGCAGGCCCACGACCATCGTTGCTGCTCTCATCATTCTTCTTCAACCACCTATTCTCATCATTATTTTTCAAGGATAATTAGCTCCAACAGTGGTATCATTGACACGGTAATAATTGCAATTTTAATCATAATAAACCATTCTATCGAAATCTGAATTTTGTCAGAGAAAATGGGGTCAGCAGCGACCGGAAGTGTGGCCGACACGGCGAACGAGAAATTTTTCTACGTAAGATAATTATTTATTTCACTAGTAGACCGTAGTTCGGGGTGATTTTATAGGGAAAAAAAAGCTTGAGGGTAGAGCTCAAAATGGGTCGCGCGTCTCGATCAGGCTCGAGGGTGAATATATACCCATATCCCGGTGGCCACCCGCAGTAAATCATTGAAAGTAATGATTTCATCGTTGTAACAAAACTCGAGATGCAACTGTGGGGGGTGTAATCGAGACGTCGATATAACACGCGATCAATTGAATAAAAATGCAATTAAATTAAAAAGAAAAAAGAAATAAAAAAATTATTGTACCGCTAGGATTTAAGTATATTTTCGAGGACTGAAGAACTATTCGTTTCATTTCACACGGACAGAATGAAAACGATCGTACTTTTCATTTTTCGTTGATTGAAATAGAGAAAAAAACACAGGAATTTGTAGAGCATAAACCAGGTACAAGTTCAGCTACGAGAGTAAACGATAATAATTGATAAAAGTTTAATTATATACCGAATAATTGTAAAACGCGCGACGACCGCGATCGATAACATAGTGCGATTATTATTACTATTAACTACTGCAATAAAAATATATATATATATATTATTATATAATGAAATACAATGATATATATTTATCGAATATTTATTGAGCAAACGAGAAATAGCACACTGTGTAGTATTTGGTTGTACAAAAAGTAGGCGAGGCGAAAAAGGGATGAATGAATTTATTTCGATTTGAAAAATGGAAGATGAGATCGATCAAGGGATGCGACGAGTGGTAGAGGGTTGCAATTTTGAGAAATTCATATTTTCAGCTCAAATATATTTTTTTTTCGATAAACGCACAATCTTTCTTTTAATAATATTGCCAAGATTAGAGCCAACCCCAAACAGTGGACTTTGTTTTATAAAATTCAATTATTAATAAACCCATGTTCGAATCAATTGAAATCCTATTATATTCCTCCGCGAATTTTACAAAGGTTCATCTCAAAATAGCAACCCTTGTACAAAATATTCGACGCACGTTTGTGGATAAAGAAAAAAAGCGAGCTGAGAGCACGAAAGACACGACAAGTAAAAAAAAGATAAGAAAAGTATTTTCGTCTCACGATCCTTTTTTTACGATTGTGAACGAGGTTCATGTTATATATCAGGGATTAGACTAAATAGTATAATACGCTGCAAAGAAGGTGGCAAGAAATGAAAGAAATTGAAGAGAAATAAAAATGAAGAAAAGATGATGAGGATTGGAAGATTATAAATGTCGAGGGTGGTTGGCCTTGGTGAGATAACCGGGACGAGGGGGAGGGCTGTGACAAAGGTGGTGATAGTGGTAACCGGAAGGGGTGAGAGCCGTAGTAATTAGGTCTCTGTGGAAAGAGTGGTTCGGAGAAGTCGATTAATGTATTTCATTTCATTAATTCGATCGATTAACCCTCCGTTATTATTCGACAAGTTGATTGAACGATTGCATAAATTTAATTTATTTAAGAGAGCCGATAGTTTATAGAGAAAACAACTTCGCTATTATACTGAACGTTTTAAAAATACACTACTCGATTCGTATCGTTTGAATCTTTTTCTTCTCTTAACCCTTTTGTTGGTAACCAAAACGTTTACGATTGTTTCTATTGAGTCGATTTCTCTCTGGAAAGATTGTCACCCTCTTTCTTCAGGGTTGAACACACGATTTCGATCGTCAAGACTTTAATGCTTAAGAGAAACCTGTTGTGATAAGCGTGGAGTAACCTCCGGCCGCGGTTGGGGCCGCAGAAACCCCATTGAAATAAACGAGAGAGAAGCGAGAGAAAAAGAAAAAAGAATTATTAAAAGCGACCCAGGAGAGTAAGGTAACCCGCGATCTTGAAGCTGGCAACCCTCCGACGAAGGGACAAATTTGTCACCTTACCGCGCCAATTATACGTTGTGTCCATACTGTCTCAATTAATATAATGTATTATATTATATATATAATATATATATTATATATATATATATATATATATATATATATATATATATATATATATATATATATCCGACAATATTGATTATTAAAAATTCTTAATATATAAAAGAGGAAAAATGAATTGACGATCTTAAACAGACATCCCGCCTTTTGTCCTACTTGCTCAGTAATTACGATAAATATATATTTTTTAATAATTTTATAAATTCGACTACTAACAGCATCTATTTAAGAACGGTTCAAACTACTCAACAACTTATCGACCAGGTTTCTGTTACAGCTTTAACTACTAGCGTCGTCTAAGGAAAATCGGCTGAAACTACTCGGCAACTTATCAACCTATTTTCCGAAACTAATATGGTGGACTTCGGCGTCGGTAAAGAAAGAAGCCAGCTTTTGTATTCATTCAATTTTATTAAACGAAGTAATTATACATTTATTCGTCTCTAAATTATAAAATATAAAATTAAATACTCATATTCTTGTCGTTCAGAGACAGACTGATGCGCTTTGACGCGAAGTGGATAATAATATCAGAGGCAGAGCCTTCACCTGACAACCGGGGTATATAAGGCGGCGCGGTGGCATGCACTCCGTGGTAGAATTATGGTGCAAGCTGTAGGCCGCGCGTTGGATGTGCTCGTGCTGACTGCACTTCTGACGCTGTTGTTCGTCGATCAAGTAAGAACGACGACGAAGAACTGTTTTAATGATGCAGCCATCGTATACCGCTGCAGCATGCTATAGCCCTGTAGAATGTTAGCGCATATCTCGTGTACCAGTGTCTCCTTGTTCTATTCTGCTCGACTTGAGGCCGATCAATACATCGGTTTCACGCACGGTTCGTCCGTGTCTAGACAATGAACCTTTGTTCGTTGTGTTTCTCATTCATGCGTAAGTCTTTTCCACGTCCACTTTTTTTTTCATGACAACTCGAACTGCTACGCTTCATCTTCCTTGAACCAATGATACATGACGAATTGTTATTGCACCGTACACATATCCTCGTGACAAAAACAATCCTTTCTAAGTATGTAGTAGAATGATCCTCGATGGCCACGAGATTATCGATGGAATTTTGGTGCAGCAAGTATAGTGGCACATCTTTCTAAAAATTCTTCAATTTTTCAATATTCCTTTTTATCCATTCTCACAATTCATTCTTCCTGCAGGAAATATTAAACAAAACGTCTGAACAAATTTGCATGTTTCAATTACATTATATTTAATTGTTTTCATTTAATGATACTTACATTTTTATTGATCTTTTCAGGTGTCTTCTAGGCTGTGCAATGGAGGGCATGTGTAAGTTTGCATTTTCTTTATACTTCACAGATTTAGATACTTTACATAGAATTGAAATAACTTGAGTAATCATTTTCTTTTCTAGCTGCTCTCCTCCAAAACAGTGCTGTTCCTTTGGCTGTTGTTACGCTGTATTTCAACTTCACTCTGCATCAGACATGTTTAATTTCCTGTTTTGGACTTACTGGTACTTATGGTTAGTTCTTTAGCTTTTAGTACCATAGTATCTTTTCTAACAGGTGATACTGATCGCAAGTTTTTTATTATCCAGGGCAGCTGTACTTATAGGATTGGCTATAGCAGCAGCATGTGGTTGCTGGTTGTGGAAACGTCATCGCTCAGTTATGGTTGAGGATTGTACATCTTCAGATAGAGCTTCCGCAACTCCTTGGTATCCACCACCACATTACAGTCGTTGTAGTTCTTTTGTTCAAGCTCTTCCACCTCCGTACAGCGAGGTACGCTTTTCTTCCATGTGCCCTGCTAGTACTGCCAATACTAGACCTCTTGTATTACATCAGTACATTCTAATGTTTAGGTTACAGCCAAACCAGATCTGTATCCTTTGGTGATCGGCTATGACGAAGGATCTGGTAAAGGAACTTCGGGATTTGTAATGCGTTATTTTAGATCGCTCTCCCATGCGAGTACATTAGATTCTTTAAGCTCCAGTTTTATGTGTAATATGGTAAACGAAGCAAATACCATAATTCCACCACCATATTCTTGTAACAATAGCGTGGATGAGCTTTCTGCAGTGGAATGCGAGAGAATGGAAAACATGGATGTTGGGTCGGTTGCATCGTTGGCTAATCATAGGACTACATCTGACATATCGAGTTTAGCTGCTCAATCTCCGTGTTCGCCTCCAAGGGCAACTAGTCCAACAATAGAGGTATTTACTTATCTCGGTTCTTTTTAAAACGTAAAACGTAAATATATATTGTTATAACGTGTAATTGTTTTATAGTTACGTGAACTTCTAGACAAGATACAACAGCTACCACAGTTACCTAATGGACATAGCACCGTTTTGCCTTGTTATCAGAATCGACCTCAAGTTTTGTCTACGCCAAACGCGAACGGCTCTACGCAACGGCCTTTAAGTCCAGGAGACGTTGGATCTTACAAAGCTAGAAGAACACGTGGAAAAATGTATATGCCATTAGGACTTCCAAGCTCAAAAAACAAAGCGAAACGGTGGCTATCGCGTTCGGCACCGACGACACCATCAGGCACGATGCCAATGTCGTTTTTACCCGGTCAAAGTAGACGACCATCTGAAACGGGTAACAACAATCAGCAAGTGGTTCCGTTGCTTTCGGAACAAGACGAAACAGAATGCAATAACGTAGATCAAGTAAACGACATTCCATTGTTGTCCGAACAAGAAGAGGATCAACAGGAAACATGACAAAACGTCTAAGTGTATTTAACGAATTAAGTATTAAGAAGTCTATTCAGATATCGTCATCCCAAGTAATCTATATATTTTTTAATATGGCTGGTGAACTCCTTATCGCGAATTTTAAGCGAAGAGTAACCGTGTATAAAGTTTGACAATTGATTTCGTCCAAAGACAAACGTTGCCAGCTCTTCTAGATTCAAGAACCGTTTCGACACTATGATCTAACTATTTTTTGTTGTATCAATAGCCAATGCCATAGTATCTGTTCACTGTTCTAGCAGATCTTTTAACTGAATCGAGGCGAGTTAGAATGATAACTGATATTATAATCTTTCAGTTTATGGAATAGCATGCAGTTAACGTACAGACAGATATTAAAAACACAAGAAACACGTACACAAAATATTATGATGATAGATCTTCTGTAGACAATATTTGAGCTCTGCTTGAGATCACGATCGAAATATGCAATTTTATACATCGAACAGTTTAATTTTTGCCTAAACGGTAACTTTAATGAAACGTAAGTTGTAAAGAAGAAGAAGAAAATGAGAAAAATGAAATTCTTAGCTGTTGCATCGATAAGTTTTAGTCAGTACACACTAATACAGTATCCATCCAAAGACAGCCAGCCAGAGAGAAGTTAAGGACAATATACGAGTAAAAGTAGTGCGAGTTTGAGTGTGAATGAAACATCGACGTAAATTTTTCACGAGTCAACGTACAATATCAATTTTGTTTAGTAGATAAAACAAGATTCATTGTGAGAGAAAAAAAAACATGATTGCAAGCACAACGATTACAGAATATCGACGATTTTATTCAAAACGGTGCAAAAATGTCGAGAACAGTTGATATAGACGCCGAACAGTTAGGAAGAGAAACGATGAATCTGCCGTTTATAGGATTTAATGAGCATTTGTTACAACTAATCACAGACTTTATTCTTAAAAGCGTAATATGAAACCGTCATTTCAATTATACCACTCATTCACATACACACCATGTATTAACATGTATTTTTTTATGAATCGGATAAAAAAAATAAATCCAAGCTTTTAAGAGATCGTTTCAACTGTTACCGTATTATCCCGTTGTTACTATTTCAAAAACGATCTACCGTATTACAATAAAGATGTTTGAAGTATCTTTATACTTTACTCACAATCTGCGTCCTTATCATTTTTATGTTTGAGAAACAACAACTTTTGATGCCAGCAAGAGATACTTATATTCAATTTCAAATTTGAAACGATTGTTAAGCGCGGGAAAGAATCGAGAATCGATATTTGAAAAATTCAAACAAGAAATATAACCTATAAATCAAATGGTGATTTAAAATGCGTTATACCCGCTTACAAACTCGGTAGCGTAACGTTCCTGGTTAATAAAAAAGGCAAAAAATGTCTGTAAGTATAGAGAAAATAGCTTGATACCTTTCACCTTGTTAAAAAAAAATCAATAGAATGGTCTGATTGATACGTTTCCTTTTACAGGCGACGAAACAGGTAAAGGTTTGTTATTCTAATAACATAACCCTCAACTCCTTCAATCTCTTTATGTTTCTTACAGCAGCAAAATGCTCACGGCGAGCCTAAAGAGAAAAAGAGGAAAGAGAGTATCCTTGATCTTTCGAAATATTTGGAGAAAAACATTAGAGTGAAATTTGCTGGAGGAAGGGAAGCTGCAGGAATTTTGAAAGGCTACGATCCCCTTCTCAATTTGGTATTAGACAATACTACCGAATACCTCAGAGGTAATTTCATCAAGCATATGCTGGTTACAATGTTTTAATTGTTTATTACAATATTTACATTTATAGATCCTGATGATCCATACAAACTGAATCAAGATACTCGTATGTTAGGCTTGGTTGTATGTAGAGGTACGTCTGTGGTACTCATATGCCCGGTAGATGGAATGGAATCTATTCAAAATCCTTTTATACAACAGGAAGGTTAAACAAATTTGTTTTTATAAATCAAGGTTCTATAAGAAGTATAAGCTTGTAAGGAACCTGATTTATAAACTGTAACGTTTGGATGAATTTGTTACAATAAAACTAGAAGTAATTTTTTTATGTTATAAATTATGTGAACTTATGATAATGGAAATGTGTAGTAAATACACATGATTTTCTTATAAAAATACAAACACAGGTTTGTTTGTTCCTTTCTAAAGTAAATGTAATAACTTATTACTGTATTATTCCAATCCAAATTCGTTTCTTAACCATGGATATTCTTTAGGGCATTCGAAACAAGTGTGTAAATACCGATACGATTTAAGTACTCTACTTGGTAACTTACAACTACTCGGTAAATCACAAGCCACCTCAAACGGTTGAAATTGATACGTGCCACATTGCCAAGGCTCGAAGTTATCGATTGCGTTCAAGGAAGTTGGTTGACGTATCCACTCGATCACTTGATGACTCGTTACGAAATACACGTCGCTTAGACGAAGTACATCGTCCATGAATTTCTAAGAGGAAATAAATCCAATCGATCAACAGCGTTAAGGCATTTAAGCCCGAGCTTACAAGCTACTTACGTTAAACGCATAAAAATACGTTGGTTCTCGAAACCAAGATGCATGGAAATGTAATCCAAAAGGTGCACGATTGCTGTGATAATGCCTTTTAAAATTCAGCATCAATATTCCATACACATCTTCTCCAGATAAATTCGAAGAGCAGATGTCCATTTTTGTACAAACGTATTCCTGACATAGATATCTTTTGTAGTGCTGTTGTTTTGTTTGAAGGCATCGTAAACAAGCGTTACTTCATTCTTGGCTTACTTACACCTGCCAAAAGTTGATTTAGTGGTAGTTCCCAGATCCCTGGGTACGCACGGGTTGGACAAAGCTGTTCAGGACCTACGCAATCATGCGGTGGCCTGTAATCCAATGTGTACGGCCAGATAGGAGGGTCGGAAAACGGTGCCAGCATGGATGAGTCGTAAACGAATCCGAACTCTGACATCATTAGGAATTGTCGGTTCCAACCAACGCGCAGAAAGGGTGCCCTCAAACCTACTCGGTTTCAAATCAATCTAATTGGAAACGAAGATGATAAAATACGAAGCCTGCAAAGAAATCATCGCTTGCCTTTGATGTCCTTCAAACGAACTGCAGCGTATTTATGAATAATATTCGCCACGCCAACCATCTCGTCGAACCAGTCTTCGATAGTGGCGTTTCGCGACCACCAGTCCTCGGGACCTCGATGCCTGGTCAATTAGAACAAATTAGATAATTAACGCGTTCACTGCCACGGTGAAACCAGCAGAGTATGTAACAGCAAGGAACTCTTACGTGACGGAATGCGCGGCAATTTCATGCCCGATGTTCCACAAATACTGTACGTCCCTGTAATTCGTATACTGGTGGCTAACATAAAACGTGCCACGAACCGGGCATCCGTTTGGATTTTTCCTGTCGCTTGAGAAAATTTCTAAAAATCAGATCAAAAGCGATAAGCGTCCAGCTTTCTCCGATCAAGGTATACACTTGACGAAATAAGGCCACGCTTTCTTACTTGAATAGAGTTCGAAATTCTCTGCGTTTACTGCATCGTCAAACGTAATCGTTATCATCTGAGGAACAGTGGAATCAGTCAGATTACCAGGAATTTCTGTTCCATCCTCGGAGCACCAACAATTCGGCAAGTGGCATTCTTTGGGATTACAAGTCGACGCACCGTTTGGATCGTTTCGAACATCTATAAATTAATTATTTGGACTAAAATGATTTTTCAATTGAAAATAGAAAATTAAACGATTCGAGTAATGGCCAGGTCTGGTTCAGAATTGTGAGGGGGTCCCGGGGCCCTCCCTATAGCCCCAGTGCAAGCCACCATGGGGGTTTTAGCGGATAAAAATCCCGCACTCCCTTGGGCCTCCCTAGGGGGGCTGGAGGTGTCTTTGGAAGATTTCCCCCACGTAAAAAAAAAAGAAGAAAGGTCTGGTTCAGAATAGACGTAGAAAGAACGGTGAACATTGAACTTGCAAGTATTTCTTACCGCACCAGCCTTCGTCAGAGCCATCGGGACAATCGACACTACCGTCGCAAAAGTATGTAGCCGGGAAGCAAGTTCCATCGCCGCAAGCCAAATGCTTCTCATCGCAATCGCCGTTCTTCAGCAGCGGTCTCGGTGGTTGCGTCTCTATAAAACGCTTCAGAAAGGAGCATGGTAGAAAATGGACAAATTGATGGTTCTTCTGACAAGCAAAATTCTAATGGATAACTCGTAGAATCGTCTGGTGTTAAATTTTTCCTTGTCGGAAGTAGCAGGAATTTGATCATTTTCTGCCATACTTCTTTCTAATCTCAATTTGCTGAATCGATCGGTTAAAAATCTATATATTAAAAAAATTTATGAATTCTATTCCGAGTTCGTCCGGCAGTTCTATCCGCCCGATTTGCATTATTTCTTTTTTTTTAATGAAAGGTATTCTTGCATAGATAACGCAACAAGCATTGGAATACATCTACCTTTCGCCCCTTTTAAGTTATATACTCAAACGTGATTTTTCTGGAATTTCTCTCCACTCAAAGCTTCTTATCTCCGGTTCTAATTAAGGTACGATGTTCGTTTTTGTCTAAGAACACTCAGCGAATCAAGCTCTTTGATTTGAGCTATTGACCAGTTACATTGGATGACTTGACAAAGTTGAATTTCAATTTTTCTAATAATTTATATAAAAATTGATGTTTGAATGCGAATTTTTCGCACGGGTCAACTAGTATAATATAAATCGTGTACCTGAGGTCACGTCACAGTTATCAACGTTTGCTTTGAAGTCGCATATCTGTCTAGAAACATCGAACAGCAATCCCTGTGAGCACTTGAATTCAAACACCTCGTTGTCTGAAGAAACAAAAGTGATCGATCAATTGAACCGACCAATTGGGTTTTGAAAAAAATGGAACAGCATTGTTCATAGTCACCTAAGCACAAGTAATACTTGGCACATTCTGTTGGAGACCAAACGTTGTGAGCCGGTGTATTCGGATTTCGATAGAACCTCTTGTCGTCGATGCACGACGGCGTTACTTCCGGTTTCTCTTTTCCCTCCGACGTGCTCGCTGAAAGGTACATACGTATATTCAAAAATTAAAACTGAATGATCCTCGAGTTTCTGCCAAAACTATCTTTGTCTCGTCTTCGACGCGCTAAATGTGCTAAACAAATATATCAAGTAAATGCGCGCTCCGGTATTGTTTTCAAATTTCGAAGAACCCGAGATGCGGATAATTGAACATGTTTCGTGGCCTTTGGTATCGAAATAACACCGTAGCTTCTGGAGAAATCTACCGAGAAGATTATCACTCGAGAACGCGTCGAAACTCACCGAAAAAGAGTAACGCGATGAAAATCAACGAACGCAACTTCGAACTCATGTCAATCGATCAGTAAAACGTTTCGTTTCTCGTTCTTCCTACGAGAGCAGCTCGCACTTTCCAACTGACACCTCCCTCCAGAGGCGAGCCTTATACGACCGGGTATTCGCTTTACCCGTTCATCTTCCGCCTCGCTTATTTTCACTGAGCGTCGATCGGGAAAATGTGGAGCAAGCGAAAAATCGACGAGTTTCATTTCCTCCTTGCAACGCAATCAAGCCTTAGGGGAACTTAAGGTTTAGTCCTTAACTTGAATTGGTACGTTAACCATGAAAAGACAAGAATTTTCTACGCAAGTTGGTCATTATACAAAGAACTCGAGTGGAAATTTCTTGTAACCTTTAACGACAGAACATTCTACGCGTTACACAAAGTTGAATGTTCTACGTAAAAATCTACGCATCGGCAAGAGGATGCTGTCTTCTACTTTGCCAAACGAACGATGATGCAACCACGTAAAATTGGTATTTTACAATAGACACACGCCGAGTTTCTGTTCAACCATTCCGTTCATGAGTAACACGCGAGCATTGGGATTTTCGAAGGTCAGTGATTGCGAATTCTAAAACGTACGAGTGTCAGAACTCGGCTAAAATCTCATCGACTGAGTTAATTTGTTCCAGATGACGGTAGGCTGGCGCAGTTCGAAGATATATTTAAAATATTTTCGCTCTTCCTTTAAATGTCTCTATAACTGTTCTCGTCGATTACCAATGTTATAGCTGAAATAACAGGGGTGTGCTGTACATTCTCGAATACTAAGGACGATGCTTGTCAACGCTTCTAATTAACCATCATCGATGAATGATTTACTCTGCTTGATGTAAAGCACGGCGGACAGTACATATAGTGTTACTTTTGCAATTCTGTAATTATTGTCTCTAGGCTGGCAGCCAAAGAAACAGAAACCAAGAAATCATTAGAACTTTTGTTTGTTCTATCACTGATGGAAAATAAAATCCTCCAGTTGAAGTTGGGAAAAAATGAATTAACGTAGGAATAGAAGGGATAGGAAACATATTTATGAGCTAGGAGAAATTATCCCTTTCTCTATGGCATCCATCTGTTGTAACTCATCTATCGTGTTCTTTCTTTGTTCTTATATCAATCATACGTCGAGTCTGCGTAGCGAAAGACGAGACACGTCGAGCGATGAAAGCCGGCGAAAGCGAATTACTTTCAGCCGAGTTCGGTGACTGTGTCATGGTGACACCGGCACACCACCTGAGGCGAACCCCTTCCCTTTGTCGCGAGCAACATCACCGTGTCCTTCTCTTAGGGGGGGTACTCTAAACTTAGATACGACTCGAGGAGACTCGATTTGAGTTCAGTACAAAACCACCATCCTCTCGAGCCACTTTCTCTCTCTCTTTCTCGCGGTTTCGTGTTTGTCGCGGCTCGTTGAAATTTCCAATAACGAGAGCTGCTGTAAACGTTCCGCTCTGATCATCTTCGATCTTCGTATAACAGAGGGAGACGTTGAAGAAAGAACACGAGTCACGCAGCGTCAAAGAAAACTGTAATACAAGCAACAGAAAGTTGGTATTGACAGAAAAATAACTCGGAGAATGGCGTACAGCTGGGACAATCGAGTTGATTTCATTGTCAGATTCCTTTATGGTTAGTACTCGGTCATTTCTGTATGGCAAGTACCACGTGTGACGCTACATTTTTTTTTTTTTGAGAATCCATGCACCTTGTACTGATCGGGAGCATGTACCACTCTTGCGGAATTTTATGGAAGTTTCTTTTTCCTGATAAAACAGCATCGTTGCATCGGTTATTTATCCCCTGCTCAAGAGTGAGTGTGTACGCTCTAACAAAGTTGTTCGATTAATAAAATAAGTTCGAAGGAACGAGAAAAGCTTCGTTCTTTTGGCTCCCAGAGTGTCATACTTGTTTAGGATTTAGGTTGACTTCAAAGTATACCACGCTGTCGTCGTAACGTCTGCAATTGACCGATGCCAAATTTAAGCTTGGCTCTAATTTGTTTTACGAATTATTCTACTCGGCCTTTTTCACGAACAATAACATTTATAACTTATCCTGTATTAACAATTACCTATGCGCGTATTTAAGGTTATTCGATAGTAGAAACAAGCTCCAAATGAAAGTCTCCGAAGTACGAGACCGCTATTTTGAAATTTGTCGAAGATCGATATAATCGATTACATCGCTGCGCCAACGGAATCGATGATTTGGTTAGGTCGATAATCGAATCGACCCATCCCATCGATATATATGATGTGTGTTTCGAATTAGATCGAACGACTGGTCTTCGAATGTTGGACTTATAGTGACAAAGGTCAACATTTGCCAAAAATTGAAATATTTGGAGCATGTCCAGACGTGTAACGACAAAAATTTCTTTAGACACAAATTGGCACCGACCGATCGATTAATTGGCTGACTTGCACGCATTGGCTTTTATGTTTTGTGTAAATACGAAGCGAATTAACAAAATATACTTAAAACGGTGCTTACCGTATCTAGATACGGATAACAATGGTAGACTGGAGAAGCACGATTTCGAGTGCATGGCGCTGAAAATGACTCTGATCGAGGGTAAAGGAGAATTTAGTTACAGTCGGTATCAGGAAAATCTACACATCATGCTCTCTTTATGGGAAGAAATTGCGGAGCTTGCGGATTTTAATAAGGTAAAATTCATAGAGCGATACCATGCTATTCTTCTTTGTCACTCACTTTTATATCTCTTATTCAGGATGGTATCGTAACTATAGCAGAATTTAAAGATGCGGTTCAGAAAAGTTGCGTCGGAAGAGAGTATCAAGATTTTCCACAAGCGATGAAGATGTTTATCGATAGTCATTTTAAAATCGTAGATTTAAATGGTATTACAAAATGATAATCCATGCTTTTGGCTATCATAACAAATTTGATACATCGTTCTTTCGTTCTCAGACGACGGTGTAATCGCTGCCGATGAATTTCGCTACAATTGTGTAACAAGGATTCCCGTAGATAACGTGAACATTTTAGACGAAGCCTACCAGAATCTTCTTAATGTAAGCTCGTGTTTCGAATGATTTAAAGGCCGCTTAATCGGATTTGCTATGCAACCTTTTCGCTGTCTCGCGTCTATATATAGAACTGTTTTTGATCCTTGACCTAGCAAACGATTCATTTTGTATGAAAATACGAAATTGTTTAAAGAGCTTTTCTAAACTAGTCATAACACTTGCTGTTAATAATATCAGAGACACAAAAAGAATAACAAGATCAATAAAAGCAAAACTACATTTAAGCTTGACATAAAGAACAATAGTTTGACTGCATGCCAACTTTAACGGTTATATTGTACATCCGATAGTTGGCGAAAGCATGTATCAGCAACCAAAAATGTTTGTACCGAGCTAACAACTTTATTTTTTCATTTACAGGATGACGATAGGAGACGCGGAGGATTGACTTTGTCTCGTTATCAAGAATTATATGCTGAATTCCTCGGTAATCCCGATGAAAATTGTAAAGCAGTTCACCTCTTCGGTCCCCTACACGCTATGGGTTAACACTGTGGTCTGGGGATAAGGCCCACCTCCTGTGTATACGTACAAAAGACAATTTATGTAAGGATATAACACAATAAATGCCATATTTTATTGTAATAGTAGTGTTTCAATCACAAACTTTCCTTTCCTGGTCTTCTGGCGGATTCCAGCGGATGTCATACATCTAAGTATCACTTACATGACTGCATCCCTTACATCCCAGCATCCCTTACGTTACTCCTTTTTTTTTTTTTTTTTTTTTTTACGTGGTGGAAATCTTCAGAAAGACACCTCCAGCCCCCCTGGGGAGGGGCCGGAGGTAGTGTGGGATTTCTACCCACTAAAACCACCACGGTGGCCGGCACTGGGGCTATAGACACGTAGACCGAGACACCCGCGCCCCTCTTTCTCGAGAGGGTCCGACCTTTGACCCTCCCCCATGTGTCAAGCTCCACCAACATCGGGGGCCACACCCGATGCCGGCACATCTAGGGCCACGTGCAGTGGAGACCGGGGCCCCAGCCCCAGCCCCCTAAGGCCCTGCGGCGCCGCTTCATCTTTTACATCCCGGCATCCCTTACATGCCTGTATTCCTTACATCCCTGCATTCCTTACATGCCTGTATTCCTTATATCCCTCCTTTCCTTACATGCCTGTATTCCTTACATCCCTCCTTTCCTTACATGCCTGTATTCCTTACATCCCTCCTTTCCTTACATACCTGTATTCCTTACATCCCTCCTTTCCTTACACGTCTCCACCCCTTACATCTCTGCATTCCTTACACCCCTCCATTCCTTATATCCCTGCATCCCTTATTTGCCTGTATTCCTTAAATCCCTCCTTTCCTTACATGCCGCCATCCCTTACATGCCTGTATTCCTTACGTCCCTCCTTTCCTTACATGTCTCCTTCCCTTACATCTCTGCATTCCTTACATCCCTGCATCCCTTATATCCCTACATTCCTTACATCTTCTCATCCCTCACATCTCTTCATCCTATACATCCCTGCATCCCTTACATGCCTATATCCTTTACATCCTTGTATCACTTATATTCCTGCATTCCATACGTCCCACTAAGGCCTGCGATTTTATACAAATTTAGTTCCTTTTTTCGCCACCAGAGGGCGCTGATCCGACATCGAAATTTTAGTTCACATTTTTCCCGCCAGAGGGCCAGAAATGGAGCAAGCTTTAGTTCCTTTTTCCGAAACCAGATGGCGCTGATTCGACATCGACATTTTAGTTCACATTTTTCCCGCCAGAGGGCCAGAAACGGAGCAAGCTTTAGTTCCTTTTTCCGAAACCAGATGGCGCTGATCCGACATCGAAATTTTAGTTCACATTTTTCCCGCCAGAGGGCCAGAAACGGAGCAAGCTTTAGTTCCTTTTTCCGAAACCAGATGGCGCTGATCCGACATCGAAATTTTAGTTCACATTTTTCCCGCCAGAGGGCCAGAAATGGAGCAAGCTTTAGTTCCTTTTTCCGAAACCAGATGGCGCTGATCCGACATCGAAATTTTAGTTCACATTTTTCCCGCCAGAGGGCCAGAAACGGAACAAGCTTTAGTTCCTTTTTCCGAAACCAGATGGCGCTGATTCGACATCAAAACTTTAGTTCGCATTTTTCCCGCCAGGGGGCGCTGTTTTTTCGAAATTTTCGCGAAATTTTAACTTACCTTTACTTACCTTTACTCGAAGCAGTCGTAATAATTTATTTATTATAAGGGATGCAGAGATGTAAGCAATGTAGGGATGAAAAGGGCGTAGGGATAAAAAGAATGTAGGGATAAAAAGAATGCAGGGATGTAGGGATGAAAAGGGTGTAGGGATGAAAAGAATGTAGGGATAAAAAGAATGCAGGGATGTAGGGGATGCCGAGATGTAAGGAATGTAGGGATAAAAAGAATGCAGGGATGTAGGGATGAAAAGGGTGTAGGGATGAAAAGAATGTAGGGATAAAAAGAATGCAGGGATGTAAGGGATGCAGAGATGTAAGGAATGTAGGGATGAAAAGAATGTACGGATAAAAAGAATCCAGGAATTCCGCAGGGGTCCGGGGCTGGGGCCCCGGTCTCCACTGCACGCGGCCCGAAGAATGCCGGCATCGGGTGTGGCCCCTGATGTCGGCGCAGTTTGGCACATGGTGGAGGGTCAAAGTACCTTCCCTACCGCCCTAGTGCAGGCCACCGTGGTGGTTTTAGTGGGTAAAAATCCCACACTACCTCCGGCCCCTCCCCAAGGGGGCTGGAGGTGTCTTTCTGAAGATTTCCACCACGTTAAAAGAAAAAAAAAAAAAAAAAGGGGGGTAGTTATGAATTGCAGGAATGTAAGGAATGCTGGGATGGAAGAAATGCAGCGATGTAAGGGATACTGAAATGGCCTTGGCCTATAATGAGGGATAAAATTATATAAATAACTGAAAAAGGTAAAATAAATGGGGTCGTCGGCTACGACCCAGAAGAGGGATATAATCATAAATGTTATTCCCCTTCGATGAGCTTATTTAATAAGCAAAAAAAAATAAATGAAGTAAATTTAATAAACTCTGGAAAAAAATTGGACTGGTTGTGCCCTCTTCATACGGTCCTGATTTCATCCAGGGGTGTTAGGGACCCCGAAACACCAGTGACTATCTCTATATACCGACATATCATCCTGGGGTGTCTAGGACCCCGAAGCACCGATAACACTCTTCGCTTACCGACACTATGCCATTCGGGGTGTCTAGGACCCCGAAGCACCTTTGACACTCCCTATATACGACATATGGTATTCGGGGTGTCTAGGACCCCGAAGCACCGACGACACTCTTCGCTTACCACCACTACGGCATTCGGGGTGTCTAGGACCCCGAAGCACCGTTGACACTCTCTGTATACGACATTATGGCATTCGGGGTGTCTAGGACCCCGAAGCACCGAAGACACTCTTCGCTTACCGACACTACTGCATTCGGGGTATCTGAGACCCCGATATACCGTTGCCGCATACCGATATTAAGCCACCGGGGTGTCAGGGACCCCAAAGCAAATAGCGAAATATAAGACCTAAAAACGAACAAATCGTGAAACTTACTTGTTCGGAATAGTGATGGGTTTGACCGGATCTAGCGAAATATAAGAACGGAAAACGAACAAATCGTGAAACTTACTTGTTCGGAATAGTGATGGGTTTGAGCGAATCTAGCGAAATATAAGAACGGAAAACGAACAAATCGTGAAACTTACTTGTTCGGAATAGTGATGGGTATGACCGGATCTAGCGAAATATAAGACCTAAAAACGAACAAATCGTGAAACTCGCTTGTTCGCGGTAGTGATGGGTATGACCGGATCTAGCGAAATATAAGACCTAAAAACGAACAAATCGTGAAACTCACTTGTTCGGGATAGTGATGGGTACGACCGGATCTGTAGTGCATGCGCACAACATTTATTTATTATAAAACAAACTTGTAAATAATTAAGAAATTATTCACTCACAAACAATGAAAATAATATATTTGTTAATCACAAACGATTTCCAATCAATTACAGTTATCAGTTATCACAAAATCTGTTTATTATAAAAAATTACTACAAAGTTTCGGCTCACATCATGATTGAAGTAAAATTGCTAATTACAAAAGAACTAATTTGTCACAAACGTTAAAGATAGACTCACAATCAATCACAAACGATTTGCAAACGAAATACATTAAGAAAAATGAAAAATAATCATATTTTATTATTTCTTCCGGCTAGCTTCATGTAGGTCCAACCTCTTGGCATCCGGGGTACCAGGGACCCCGCAGCTTCGATGGCGCTCTCTGCATACCGACCTGAATCATCTTGGGGTGTCAGGGACCCCGAAGCGCCGGTGATTGCGGTAACGGTACTTGATAAATGCTTAAAATTTTATGAAATATAAGTGTAAAATTTGTCTTGAATGTTACTAACGCTGTAATTTAACCCTTAATTTAGATTTAATACAAGTAGTAAACATTGTTTTTCCATAATTGGTACAAAGTACATAATATTCAAGTGCTACGTACAAATTTACACGCCACGTGACTGCATGGTTTTTATACAGTGTGGAATACATAGGTTAAGGATCAGACACTTTAACCGGTTGGCGGGAGATGAACTTTGCCCTTAATTATTACATTTTCTTCACATAAAAAATGGAATTCGACTTGTCGTTTAATTTCCTATGCATATTTTCTATTATTTTGTTAATATTTGTCACAATTATCACCGTTGTTCAAAAACTAAAGTAAGCATATCTTCACATTTATTTCTTTCATTGATTATAATTATAAATATATCATATTTCATTCATGTATTATATTAAGATGGCCTGTAAAAGTAAACTGCTGGTTTTGTAATAATAATACTAAGATTTGGCGGCAACAGCTTAACTGGTGGATGTGTCCGCATTGTGAACAGTATAATGGTTTTTCCAAGGTAAATCAATATATTCAATTAAAATTTAATAGCACACCTAATTTGAATAAATATATGTATGGTATGTATTAAGATCTATATTTATAAAACGCAAAATTATTTTTAAAATTTCATGTGTTTGTAAATATTGTTTATATTTTTTGTTCCACATCAAATTTTAGAATGGTGATTACACTTATAATATACCAGAACAATATAAGACTTCAGATGAAATCAAAAGATACTGTACAGTCAACCAGGATACATCAATCAAGAAAGTTGCAAAGAATGATCTATGTACACAGTGTAATGTTAACGAAAGCTTAAAATTAGCCAAATTGTCAGACTACATACCTAAGAGTGAAAGAAATTATGAACATGAGATAAAACAGTACAGAAATATTTTAGAGCAGCAATATCCATTGTGTGCAAAGTGCAAAACTATAGTACATAGGGTATTAAGCAAACAAGCATTATGGCTTGCTCAATATAAAATGTTATTCTTTAAAAAGAAACCTTTTAATGTAATTGCTAATGTTGGTATTTAAATTTTATTAAGCAACAGCTTTAATCAAAATTACCTTTTGTCATACTTTTTTTATTCTTTGCAGGGTACAAAATATTCTGAACCAGTATGTAGAACAATCTCAACAATATTAGGCTCTATGGTGGCATATGATATGGATTTTGTATATTTGCCAATTGGAGGATTACTTTTTCAATTCTGTGCCTGTTGGTCAGCTTCTTCGAGAAAACATAATTCTGATTTATTGCTCATGTTTTTATGGATATGTACAATTGTACTTTTACCTTTTAAAGATGCAAAGTTGATTAAAACAGATTTACAGAATGCATGGTTTTCTCTTGAATATATAACACATTATCATATGGTATGCTAATCAATCGAAACAAAATATATGATGTTAAAATTTATATTTTATAAGATCATGTTAAGTTATTAATTTTCAATTATTCTTTTTTAGATAATGTTATTTGTCTTGGTTATAGGCTATATCAACATTAAGCCTAAATCCTATAAAAGTACATTGAATAAAAATATGTCATTCAAAAAAATTGAATCTTCCACAAAAGATACAGTGTTCACTGATTTATGTACAAAGACTTTAAATGAAAAGCACAATTTTAATTCTGAAGTTACCGATGATTTAAATAAAACAGTTACTAACCAATTGTTCTCACCACCAAATACAATGAAACACCATATGGCTCCTTACACCGAAAAGCCATTGAATTCAAAATCGGCAATTTTTCAAACCCCATTGTAAGTAATACAATTTCAAATAATTATCTATATAACATAAAAACAATGCATATTATATTACAGTAAAAATCACGAATCAGAGTTACCACAATCGTCTATTAAGGATAGTAATATGAAATTTAATTCTACTCCTTTAAATAAAAAGAATGTGATAGACAATTTCGCATTAAATGATAGTTTGGATACATTAAGTATGTTGTCGTTAAGCGAAAAGAAACCTAAATATGTAATTAAAGCACCCAAGATTTTTGAAAAGAAAGTGTATGGTACAAGCAGCCTTGACCTTTTCAAAAAGTCTGGCAAGAGGCACATTTTATCGCCACCGAAATTAAAAACGGTTACGCAAACATCGTGGGTAGCTGGTGGTTATTGGCAAGAGGACATTGATGTACCATCATTATCTAGATCATCCAGTCAAAGCTCTGGGTTTGGTTCTACGTGTTCTAACTTTGCTCCATCCAGAGAACCATCCGTACATGAATTTGATCAATGTTCGGTTATGTCAGATGTAACACAATCTTATTATACTTCGAGACAAAGTACTGTTCATCCTGTTGGATCATTCAATCAACAGAATGCATACTTATCATTTTCAGAGCCAAGAAATTCAGTTAGTAACCAAACAATGAAAGGGGCATCGCCTAATTTTTATGCGCCACAGCCGTTCGTACTGCCTGAGGCTTACAGAAAAAGTAATTCAGTTTATCTTGATCAGTCTTTACAAGGACAAAACATGAATGTAAGTGATATTAAAAATCCTTCTGAAATTCAAATGTTTCCTAGTCATACCACTATTGTAACAAGTCCTGTTTGGTTACCAGCTCTTTTATGTGGTTCACTTGTATTAAATATAGTAGTATTGTGTACTACTTTGTCACGTTGAACAGGGTATAAATGATCATTTTTCCATTATTCTTCCTTAATTCGTATTCGCTGTGTGTACGTATTTTAGTTATCAATCAAATATTACGTTGATCACTGTTTTTAACAAACGATAATTATTTTTAATATAGTAATCAATGAATAAAATAGAAACATTTCATCCTATTAACGAATAGACGTACTGCCAGTATAGTTTTCTGTTATCACAAATTTTTCTTAATATCATTTAGTTTTTTACTATAAATAAATATTATTTTTTTATTTTTATTTGTATAAAGTTTTGACAATAATCTGAATATTACGTTAAATGGAAAATGATAAAACATATGATACTGATTTGATAAGAAATTTGTATGACATTCGAAATTGTCGAACTTGTGATAAAGAAAATGGTCTCCATGTGTGTTCATTAGTAAGATATATACATAGTCCAACAAATTTAAGAACTAAGAATTAAAGAAATAATATGAAATTATGGTTTTCATATTGATAATTCTTCAGTTTTTATTAAAGACTAATGGTATTTTTCAATTCTTATAACTCACTACAATATGTTAATACGTCGTCTACAGTCCTGTTAAAATAATATTGTTATTGTAATATATGTTGATTTTTTGTGTAAATTTTGGTATTTGCAGTCTTGTACTGTTGTTTTATTCGAAAATAAAAACAATTTTTTTTTATAATCATGGACTTAATTTCAATATATTTTTAATTGTAATAAAAATGAAATTCCTTCCAATATTTTATAATTAAAACAACCGCAGGCGGTAAAGTACAAGTTAGCGATACCATAAGAAAATCAGAATCAGAATTAAAGTTTCAGTAATGTTGTTACCATATCTTGCAAAGATTTTGGAAAAAATAATTTTAAGTTTTTGTTAAACTGTACCATGTTTATAAACTTTAATATTTATAGCTATGTGCTTCCATACAAGTACTGCTTTTTTTCTATATACTAATGAATAAGACTGCTAATAACTTGCAATTTTTAATGCATTTAAGATAAGTAGTAAGAAATATCTGTCGTTCAACAATTTTGTATATGTGTGAATTATGAAATTTCTAGTGTTCTATATTTGTAAGAACTTATACATAACACGATTATTATGTTAAAACATAGCGTTAAAGTAATTTAATAAACATTGTAATATCTTTACCTGAGATATTAAATTTTTATTGAAGTTCACACTGTCCATTTGATTTTGAATTTATAATTTATCGTATAAATAAGCAATGCTTAGTATCTGCTAATTTACGTTCAAACTGTTTAAGATCCGGTACATTAAAATCCACTATTCGTCTGCGAAATCTTTATAAAAATTAAATCTTGTAATTATGTAGAAGTAATAGAATATTTACCATCGATTATGCTAATACAATTTTAACTTACTTAACGTTTTCTTTAGTATTTAGTGGTTTCGATGGCACAAATTTTTCTCTGTACGTAGTTTGCCATCGATATTTGGCTATTCCCTCTTTCGAATTTGCGTATATTTCTTCTTTCAACATATCTCCTAATCCAAATTCTGTTAATGTGCCGAAACTTTTTGTCAAATCTAATTCGGGAATCCATTGTCGCTGTCTCCAGGCGCAAAAATTTTATACCACTTTACCATTTAATTACTCACAGTAATATCCAATTACTTTGGTACATGAAGAAATTATACCTTGCATTATATGATCTAATTCTAGGTCCATGAAGAGTTTTTGGTAAAATATTATAACATAAATCATAAGTTGTTGTCATGTTGTTTCTATACTCCTCTCTGTGATCTAGTAATGTTTCTCGAGCCAAACCCTTATCATAAATTTATTAAAAAGTATTACTTGTTTGATGTTATTTATGTTGTTTATGGTAAATTATATTCCCTTCTGTACCTCAAGCATTAATTTGTTGTCCCACTTTGCATCCTGATTTGTTTGCCAAGTCTTATTTGTATGAACTATGTAATCTACATCATACGATGTTCTCCAATTATCAGGTTCAGGTGTATATACCACTCTGCGTTCAAACCAATTGCCTACTAATGTTTTTGGTGTATATTTATCTTCACTTAATACTGGTGCTCGATCGTATTTACTCTTTGGATCTAATTTTTCTCTTACATTTGTTAGTGACGATGAACTTCCTAAGCATTGTTGTTTCAAATTCCAGTGCATCACATCCATCTTTAAATGGTACAATAAGAAGTAAATGAATGAAATAAATATTTAGTTTATTGGAACATTGAACTAAGATTTAAATTATCATATATATTTACATAGATAACAATATTATAAAATTAATAAGGATAGTTAAATATTCATCGTCTGACTATTCAATAAATGCAAATATACAGATAATATAAATTATTTTATTATTAAATAAATATATTATCTAAGAATTAGTATTTAAAATTTAAATGATATTCCACTAAAAAATTACGTTGTGTTCTTAATGCAGACATCTTGATCTTATTAATCAAGTAATAGTAGTAATAAGAATGATAACAGTAGATAGATTTCTTAAAAGCAATTTTAATTAAATCAGAGTGCATCATCATAATTCATATAGTACCTTGCAGTTACAGCCTCTGTAAATTCTGCATACAAATTTATCGCCTAATTCTATGAAAATTCTTTAAATTTCTACTTTGTTCTACTTTCTGCTGCAGATGAGGTAGACACGAACAAGATCAAGGACTTGAAACAATATTATGATATCTAGACAAGACATCCAATAAAAGAGAATATATTATGTGCATTGCATTTTTATAGTAGATCTACTTCAATTTTTAAAGACTTTGCTTTGCACCATCGAGCTTCAGTATAATTTTTTAAACATGTCTGTAATTCATATGATGTGGAGTTTGATTAAATTAATGCATGTATGAGATTATACAATCATTTTTTAAAGCATAGATACACATACGTTTCTCAGTATGTTTCTAAAACAATGAAACGAATATCTACATCTGTCAACTTATTTATTTCCTTCACATCCGCATATTTCATACAGTTTACAAAAAAACGGCAGCAGTTATAGATCAACCTCGTCTTTAACAGTAATTCTTGTCTTCTTGTGTGAATATACCATTACAAGACAACTACTTTTTCTTTATTATAATTTTAAACACGTTTGATGTATTAAGAAAATAATAATAACTCTGGTATTCTCTGTTCGTTTTTTTTTCTTTTCATGCATAGTATATCGAGAACTTTCGATTAAAAAGATTTTCTTGACGAGCATCTGATTATTTAGGAATTTTTTATACAATAAAATTCGGTGAATCTTTTTAAGCTCCATTACCTGTTTTAAATTACACAAATCATACAAAATTATGAAGTAAAAAAATAATAAATACATATGTATGTAACAAAAAAACAAAATTTGTATAATTTGAATTAATTTAGTACGTTCCAAGCTCTGATTTACATACTCAAATGACTACCATCACTTTAGAAATTGTTCACCCATATCAAAAAAATCAATAATGTCTTTACAATATTCTATAAAAATAAATGTTATTTAATAAGGAAAAAACGGTTGATGCCCAAAATTCATAACTCAAAAGTTTAGCTAGGCTTTACAATTAAATAACTTAACAAAATATTATTGAACCACGCTTCATAATTCAGCAGATACATCGACACCTTATTTGCACGATAGAATGAAAATACATTATTGTATGATAATATTTTGAAAATTTTTAAGGCTTTGAAATACTAATATTAAGTGTATTTTGCGATAAATACATGTATTTGTAGCCTTTTACGTGTAGGGCGTTTTGCAAAGATAGTTTTCTTGATTTGCCAAACTAATGTAATGGGATACGATTATATTTACATACATTGGACAAGAATATTTCAATAATAATTGCACTCATTATGCACCACGCACTTGTCTTTGCATCATAGCAAACACAATTTCAACCTCGATATCACAAAAGTTAAAAAACGGAAGATGACAAAAATGATCTCGTATGGAAACATGATTTCTTTCGTTGTTCATTACAACGAAAGAGAATGATTCATAAAGAAAATGTTAATCCTTTTTGCCTACATACCATAAACGATCTGAGCGTAACAAGATTCCAGTGTATCAGAAAGCAAACAGGTATTTTGTTGCGCACAGTTTACAAAAACCTATATCTTAAATTAATAATATTTAGAATTCTCTTGTTCTAGACAATACATCAAGTACGTGTGGCTCATAAATTTCTAAGAGAACCATAAATAAACGTAATTACGAAAAGGATGTAAAAAGTATATATCGAAAAGCATTAATTATCGACAAATAGAATTAAAGATTAAAGTTTGCTATAAAAAAAAAAAAATTGAAGAAAAATGTGTATTCAACTATTACAATAAATGGAAAAGAAATATGCGTGAATAAATTTTCAGTGGCCTACAACAGGTTTTAGGAACTTAAGCAGACCTGTGCAATAGCTCTTAATTAGATGTACAATATACATCTAGGTAACTTCCGAGCATAAGCTCGCCATGAAGAGAATTGTAAACTAATTCGTTCACCTAAAACAAAGAACTTACAACAGACCAACTTTCGTCGGTCTGTAAATTGTAAGTGTAGTATAAAAGCCTCTGATATAAACAAGAATAAGCGATAATAAATTAATTTAAATTAGATGATTATATAAAGATCGATGCAATGAAAACTAGACTATTATTAATAAAATAAACGTGAAGGAAGATAGGGGTGAAATTGTTCTGTCGAAAAACGTTCTCTCATAAAGCCATTGGTTCTTGGACCCTTAATAATTAGAATAGCCAACAAACTTAACTACTGGTTAAGCGAGCTTTCTGCAAAGGTCCGGAAAAGTTTGTTTGTCGCGAATCCGTTAATAGCAATGGAGAGAATTCTTACAATTATAAATACTTATAAGCCACGATCATTCCTACAACTTTTTTTTCTTTTTCGAAGCCACATGTCCAATCGCATTTTACGTTAGCGATACCTACCAAATCTTAAATAGTACTGCCTCGTTCGTTCGCAAATTATTAATGCCGATAGCAGATTTAATCAGACTACTATAGACAAGTCAAAGAAATCATCTTTAGTCACTTTGAAGAATTACTTTTCTACCTTGTAATTAATGTAACATATTTCTCTTTTTGAAAAGCTGTTTAAACATTTGATACATAGAACATAGTGTACAAAAACTTTTATAGAAATAAATGGTACAACATTATTACGTGAGGCCTTTGCATGATTATTTGATAGACATTCACCTTTATTTATCGTGCATGATATTAAATTAAATAATTTATAAAAATTAACTATTTACAAATCGATAGGACATGCAGCATTAATTTCATAACTTAATGCACTTATATGAATATACCTAAGCACATGCTTGATTCGAGACAAATAAAAAGAACTGGCGGTGCTCCTTGCGGATATATTACGTCTATTACCCTTACTATATAATTGTAACATTTATGTGTATCCACTACAAATCAGAGTCTCTGGAACTCTTTTGTTTTCATTGATGAAAGCGTTCTTGCGTTCGTTTTCTGTAAAAGTGAAGGGTTTGGCATTATGCTCACGATCACTGTACGTTGTTACCCATATCTGAATAGAAACATGAAAAAAAATAAACAAATATCAAAACTGCATTAACAAAAATATTAATTAACTAAAACTTAGTTACTTAATAAGCGATACATATATACAAAAAAAAAAAGAACGTAGATAAAAACTTATTATTTTAGAGACATAAAGTAAATTTATAAATATCTGGGAATTATTATTACTTACCGCGATTCACTGTTCTAATAGCGTTAACATTAGTTAAATGATGTTGACCAGCTCTGATTGGCTTAGCAATCTGTGCACTAGGTCCACGACGGGCCAAATTCTTTTGCCTAACAGCTTCTTTGATTCTGTCTACCTCGTATTGGTAGCGTTTGCGATCTCGCATTGCACCTTCTTTGGCATCTCGCAATGCTGTTTCGAGGGCTTTTACACGTTCCATTGTAGCGCGCAATCTCTTTTCAAGTTTCGGTAATTCGCATCGAAGATCAGCATTATCCCTTACAAGTTGTTTGTGAACCTATTAAAAATAGATATGTTATAAAAAAAAGATCATACGATGACAATTTATAATATACCTTTGTAAGCTGATCCAAATTATTTTCAAGGAATGAAATCTTCTGTTTCTGAGTAAGTGATCCACCATCGTCTTCGTTATCTTCCGCATTGATCGTCTTCTTTATTCTAGTCTGTAGATCTTGAACGAATAGTTTGCGTAAATTGTGCAGTGTTTGAAGTTCTTTGGCTACTGTTTCCTCCAGACCTTTGAGATCTTTTCGAGCCTACAAAAAACAAATCAAGTGGTCGATAAATCTTCCGGTTATTCGGTTATGTTTTATGATCAGATTTTTACGTACTTGTTCACGGCGTTCATTAAGTAAAATAAGTTCTTGCAGCTTAACAGACTTGTTTGCTTCTTCTTGTTTCAAACGTTCATAATCGGCCTGCATTTGTTGATGAGCTAACGTAAACTTCTGATTCAAGTCTTTAAGTTCGCTGATTAGATCTTGCTTCTCAGATAATTCATCTCTAAGCGCAGCGACCTGTAATAATATTCATACATTAGTAATAATGTATGACATTTACATATTTTAACACATTGTTAACCGGTCACGAGTTAATTCGTTTATTGAAGTTTATTTAGATTGTTTTACCTCCACGTGACATGAGATAGTTTCTGTGTAAAATTGTCGGTCAACAATGTGTTAATATAAATAAAAATAAGGTCACTTGTTTCTGATGAGCATCTCGCAATTGATCCATTTGTTCTTCCAGTGCCACTCTCATTTTTGTTGCTGCTTCCTTCTCTTCTGCTTTTTCTTTGTTGGTAACTGCCTGTACTTGTTCCGCAGCCTTCAGCTTGGCACATTCCTCGCGTAAAGCATCAACATCTTCTTCCAAAGCACGTTTGCGTGCTTCCGCCACTTTCATTGATTCTGTTAGCGTTTGCATGCGAGCTTCGTGTTGAGAAATTAATAAACGGCATTCGGCGAGATCTTTTTCATATTCAGCAACCTAAAATTTATGAATGAATATCATAATATATAACGCGATGAATTCAAAGAGTACGAAAACGAATACTCACTTTCTTGTTACAGTCTACTTGGAAACTTTCTAATCCTTGGCAACGTTGTACTAAATTCTTCACCTCTGATTTCATTTTGCTAATGAAAAGCCTAGCTACCGTGAATTCTTCTTCGAGTTTACCGTTACTTTCTTGCGCAACCTATGAAATATAATTGTTTAAATACCTCGATTGAGAAAGACTACAACTGATTTATGTACCTTTAAGTTTTCATCGCCGCCAATGGCAACTCCGATTTCGCCTAAATCTTTCAAGAAGTTCGCTAACATTTCAGCGATGCGTTTTCTTTGATGAGCAGACGTGTCCCGTAATTGTTGTAATTCGGATGTAGTACTATTCAATGCTGCCTGCTTCGACAAAAGTTCTTCCGTCAAAGATTCTAACTCCTTGTTCTTCATTTCAACCTCTTGAGATTTCTGGTCATAATTAACAGCCAACTCTTCCAGTGCTTGTAAAACTTCTTTAACTTCCTCTTTAGCATTTTCATGTTCTTGTTGTATTCGGTTCATTTCTTGTTGAAGTTTCTCGTATTCCCGTCCTGCAGTTGCGATTAATTCTGCTTGTTCGTCTATTTGTTCCTTCAAGTTCTCGACGTATTGTGATTGTTGATTAATTTCCTCGTCTTTGTCATCTAATTGCTGATAAAGTCTTTCACGTTCCTCTTCCAGTTTTTGT